TCAACTGACAAAGTTTGATGATTCAAAGCCAATTAGTACCCAAAATATTTAATTAAAGCCATAAATTTTCAAAAGTAGGTCACGGTGACCTACTTTTTAGTCGACCTACTCCGAAGACCCATGAGGCATCAACTGACAAAGTTTGATGATTCTAAGCCAATTAGTACCCGAAATATTTAATTAAAGCCATAAATTTTCAAAAGTAGGTCACGGTGACCTACTTTTTAGTCGACCTACTCTGAAGACCCAAGATGCATCAACTGACAAAGTTTGATGATTCTAAGCCAATTAGTACCTAAAATATTTAATTAAAGCCATAAATTTTCAAAAGTAGGTCACTGTGACCTACTTTTTAGTCGACCTACTCCGAAGACCCATGAGGCATCAACTGCCAAAGTTTGATGATTCTAAGCCAATTAGTACCCGGAATATTTAATTAAAGCCATAAATTTTCAAAAGTAGGTCACGGTGACCTACTTTTTAGTCGACCTACTCTGAAGACCCAAGAGGCATCAACTGACAAAGTTTGATGATTCTAAGCCAATTAATACCCGAAATATTTAATTAATGCCATAAATTTTCAAAAGTAGGTCACTGTGACCTACTTTTTAGTCGACCTACTCCGAAGACCCAAGATGCATCAACTGACAAAGTTTTAGGATTCTAAGCCAATTAGTACCTGAAATATTTAATTATAGTCATATAAATTGAAAAGTAGGTCACGGTGACCTACTTTTCAGTTGACCTTTTTTGGGGACCCAAGATGCATCAACTTACAAAGTTTTATGATCATAGGACTTAAAATGTCCAAATTATGCCTCTAAAACGCTTTGAAATCGAATGCCTGCAAAGTTCAAAAAGTAGGTCACTGTGACCTACTTTTTAATAAATATGTTTTATGGCCCCAAGATGCATCATCTTACAAGATTTAATGATTCTAAGCCTCCCCGTATTCGAATTAATGACCTTAATTGTTTTAAAAAAGATTAGCCATAAAATTCAAAAAGTAGGTCAAGGTGACCTACTTTTTAGTTGACGTACTTTGAGGACCCAAGATGCATCAACTGACAAAGTTTGATGATCATAGGCCTTAGACCTACTTTTGAGTCAACATGATATGAGGTCCTTAGATGCACCAACTGACAAGATTTGATGGTCCTAGTCCTTATAGTAAGCAAAATATCAACATTTTAATAAAATGTAATTTTTGGTCAACTTTGAAGTGACCTTGAGACCACGCCCTTTGCCCCAGGGTAAATCTCCGTGCAAATTTTAATCTACAACATATCCTCATCCTTTTGTGTAAGTTTGGTGATAATCTGCCCAGTGGTTCTTGAGAAGATTTTTTAGCAACCAGTACTTTTGTTTCTATTTTCCTAATTATCTCCCCTTGTTAAAGGGTCACAACCCCAGTTTTAGTATAAAAGGGAGCCCTTGGGCCAAGGATACCCTGTGACAAATTTGACAATAATTGGCCAAGGGGTTCTTGAGTTATGGCCCATATTCTAAAAAGTTTACGCACACCGCACACCGCACAAATGGCCATAGCATTAGCTCTTTGAGCCTTTGGCTCAGAAGAGCTAATAATTATAATAATTTGGGGAAATACTTTTCATCCAAACAAAATGATTTAAAAGATACCCCTCATTGAAATTTTTTTTAAAAAATGAAAGAAAATAAAGTTGATAAACCCAATGGTATTTTATTAACAGATTGCTACTTGCAATCAGAAAAAAAATAAATGTCTGAAACTAAATTTTATTAGTAACAATTCTGTCAATCTTTTGCTGCATGGCATGCAATGTTACAAAAATAAGACCTACCATGCTTTGTATTTTATTCAATAACCATCTCTTCAGTTCTAAGAAGCCATCATCTTCATAAAATTACCGATATGCATATTGATGAATTAATCATAATTGTAACCTATGAACAGATAGCATAAATCCCCTTTATCACATCATTTTTGAATGTAAATTCTGATACTGCAATACATATATACAAAGTATAATCTCTTCCTCCAAAAACTCTCTTAAACTCATTATCATAATCCTCAGTAGGTTTTACTACTAGATTTGCCACTATCATGTCCAGAAATCACTCAACAGGCAAATATTCAAAAGTAACCAATGTTTATATATTAATTTCCATACAGGTGCATACATTCCATTCTTAATATACTGTTGAATCATTTAAATTCGTGGGGGTCAATGTTCGTGTTCAAGCAAAATTTTATTGGTTCGTGGGATGAAATTTCGTGGGCAGCTCGTTTATTTTGTAGATTTAATTAATCAGTACGTTGCCAAAAAAATTGTTCATGGGGACGTAAATTCGTGGGTAAGGGTGACCCACGAAATCCACGAACATTGATCCCCCACGAACAATGATGATTCCACAGTATATATATATATATATATATATATATATATATATATATATATATATATATATATATATATATATATATATAGGACTCCAAAGTGCGATGGGAATCCAAAGTCCAATGGTCACGCCAAAGTCCGATGGTCTGCGCCAAACCCCGATGGTTTGACACGCGAAAGTCCGATGGTGCGGAAAAACGATTGACATTTGTGACGTCATAGTACTACTGCGCCAAACTGCAATGCCACGCCATGCCAAGGTCTTCAATAAGTATAAATAAATACCATTATGTGAAAACTAACCCTAATCTCTCGGATAGGTGCAAAACTAACCCTAATCGCTCGAAAAGTGTGTAACAACTATAACCTAGATATCTTGGGTGGGTGCGAGACTAACCCTAACCACTCGACTGGTGTGCGAGGACTAACCCTAAACCTCTCGGGCTGGAGCGAAACAAGGACTGATCCAAATCAGTGGAGTGGTGTGTGAGGACTAACCCTAATATCTCTGAAAGGTGCATGCAATAAGCAAAATCATTAAAATTGTATGCGAGGACGAATTCAGAAATAATGGCTTTTGAATACAGGACAACGGCGTCAAGGATTGACGTCGGAATATTGTGACGTCATAAACGTTGATTGTTTCTCCGCACCATCGGACTTTATTAAAGTTCGTGTCAGACTATTAAAGCGTGTCAGACCATCGCACTTTAGCGCAGGGTTTGGCAGACCATCGGACTTTGGTGAGACCATCGGACTTTGGCGTCACCATCGGACTTTGGAGTCTTACATATAATATATATATATGTATATATATATATACATATATATATATATATATATATATATATATATATATATATATATATATTAGGGATGGCAATTTGTAGCCGGTTAACCGATTACTCGGTCGGAACAATGGGAATCGGTTAGAAAATCTGTAATCGGTTAGTCGGAAAAATAAAAAAATATGTAAGTTTTAACCTGATTTTGTTAAAATTCATGTTGAAAAAAAGAGATCTTTGCATAAACGTTGATAATTCAGCGTTTTCACATATCCAAGCTGACTTGGCTGGCTGTAATTATGGTTCACCGGATTGAGAGTGTAGGGTAATTGGTCATTTTGTGTTTGAAGTGTTAATTACTGTTAAAACACCATGTCGTTACCCTGACCGTCCTTATATTTATTTAATGATAATTAAATCACCGTTGAGAACTGCGAATTAGTATGTTTGTTTTTTGCAGTTATCTATCGAATATATATACTATACAAATTTTGTAAATTAAGTGATGTATTTCAGATTTAGTTTTAATTATGGTGACAATGCTGAATGAACGTATGTGAAATCTGCTTTGGAAAAATATCAATTTTTCAGTCATGATTAGTGTTTTTCTTAATTTTTTCCAGTCTACATTGAAACTAAAATAAAATATAGAAGCATGTAGGTTTTTTTAAATCAAGAATCAAGACAAATAAAATGATTTAACATCTAGACTCTATCAGTCTTCTTGTATATATGAAAAGAGCTACTTAGGCAAAAAGTATGTACATCAAGAAAATGTGTATTTTGATACGGTTAACCGGTTAATCGGTCGGAACGCCTTGCGGTTAACCGATTAGCAATTCTGTATTCGATTGCCATCCCTAATATATATATATATATATATATATATATATATATATATATATATATATATATATATATATATATATATACATATATATATATATATATATATATATATATATTAGTGGTGTTCCAATCATGGATTATAATTGAAAATCAGTCGATTGCTGGCATAATCTCAGCGCTCGATTACAAAATTTTTATTCCGATTAATCGGGTTTTTTATTTTATTTAAAAAGCAATAGTTTTTAAGCCGAATATTCCAAATTCCAGCTGCGACTTGTCTATTCACTTATTTGTGTATCCTAATGGCATTGTATTCATACCCAGTTAACAATGCTCATTTCTGTTATGGAAATACTTTGGATTCTACAAAATGAAAGAAGAACCAGCTGGACTAGATAGAATGTTCTATCATTAAAATGATGTCGTCTAAAAGAATAGGGCTTGTCTCGAGACACAGTTAGATCATTCTAACTACAGCTGGACCACCACAGAAAGAAGTAATTCACCCATTCCTACCATTTCATAAACTAAATTGACAGACTTTGTAAATGTCCGATTATAATTGATAATTAGTTAGTTACAGTAGTCCGATCATCGATTATAAAATTCTTACACCGATTCCCATCACCATCACTAATATATATATATAAATATATATATATATATATATATATATATATATATATATATGAAAATAAAATAAAAAGGCAACAGAAGTGTTGCCTTTTTATTTCATTTTCATATTGATTACCGGACACTGTGATATTTCTTTTGTCTTTTGGAGATATATATATATATATATATATATATATATATATATATATATATATATATATATATATATATATATATATATATATGTATTTTATCAAAGTAATATGTATGCATATCATGGGTTCAACAGTTCAGCCTCAGCTAGAATTTTTTTCCAATCCTGCATTAATGATTATCAACACTGATACATATTATTTTCTAAAACACAAACCTGTGATTGTCCAACACTGGGTATCTCAGTATTGCCCAGTTTCTGTCGGATTCTGGCTCTACCCCTTCCCACCTTCCTTGAATTTGGATCATCTGATGATCTTAATTTTTCTAAGTACTTCTGCAAAAAACAAAAAAATAAATGATTCAATGAAGACTAAATGAAAGATTAATATTGAAATAATATCAAACAATGGTCAAATACATAAATACACTGAGTAGCTGTAATATTTTCTATCACTTGCTTTTCTTTACCATGACTTCCTGAGATGTCATGCATTTAGAAAGTGTACCTGCTTCTCAATTTGAAATTGTAGTTGAGGTACACGTGGGACATCCACTTCACTTAGTTTTTTCCCTCGCCCATAGCATGTGCAGATTAGAGAACCTTCATCATTCTCTTTGTCATCATCCCCTTCACTCCCAAAGGGAACAATCTCATCATAGAAATCGGGGTCATATAAGTTCCATCTTGACATGGTGCAGTCAAAACTGTAGCAATAATATGAAAAAAAAATTAAAATTGTACCAGTACCTCCAGGAGGGGAACAATTGTCTATGAGTATATGTTCAGTCTTTAAAAAAAATCTAACTTTCATATATTTACATTTCCAAATATTATTCCTTAAGATTCTTTGCAAATTAGAAAAAACTTCATGTTCTCATGAACTACCATTGGATGAGTAAGAATATTTCCATTGTGATCACGGTGATGTGACCGAAGACAAAAATAGTGCTTTTTTTCAAAAATGATTGATAAATGACAAAAATATGTGGCAAGTCATCAGAAAAATATTAATGTAAATATAAGATATGAATTTAATTTTTGAGAATTCATGAGGTACATGAACTACAACGCTTCACGCCTGCATATTTATCATGAAGCGCTAACGTGCTTCATGAAATATTCCGGCATGAAGCGTCGTAGTTCATGTCCTCATGAATTCTCAAAAATTAAATTCATCTCTTAAATAAGCAGCCCATGAAATAACCATGCACATGACCAACTAAGACACATAAATTTTGTTGTGTCACACAAATTTCCTGATATCAAAAGTTGGCTAGATGTGTGTTAACATTTCTACTAATTCAAATTGTGATCGATAAATCCATCTCCAGTTAACTAGTAGTACCAAAAGGGGGGTGGGACTCATCAGTCTATATTATCAGGATCTACATCACAAAAATAATATTTAACAAGATGTGTGTGAAACACTGATGCCCCCGTATGGCAGCTTATGGCGTAGGTTAAAGTTTCTCAAATGCAAGTCAAAATCCAGGCCAAAAGATAAAAAATGTTGATACCCAAAGAAAGATCTTGTCTCGAGGAATACACCTGTGAAATTTGAAAGACCTAGATACAACTGTTCTAAAGTTATGGCGAAGGTTAAAGTTTTTTAAATAAAAGTCAAACGTCAAGGTCAAGGTCAAAGTGGTTGGTATCCAAAGGAAGATCTTGTCTAAAGGATTACATATGTGAAGTATGAAAGCCCTAGCACCAACCATTCAAAAGTTATGGCCAAGGTTAAAGTTTTTCAAAAGTAGGTCAAACTCCTAGGTCAAGGTCAAAGGGTCAAAGTGGTTGGTATCCAAAGGAAGGTCTTGTCACAAGGATTACATATGTGAAGTATGAAAGCCCTAGCATCAACCTTTCGAAAGTTATGGCCAAGGTTAAAGTTTTTCAGAAGTAGGTCAAACTCCTAGGTCAAGGTCAAAGGGTCAAAGTGGTTGATATCTAGAGGAAGGTCTTGTCACAAGGAATACACATGTGAAGTTTGAAACCCTAAGCACCAACTGTTCAAAAGTTATGGCCAAGGTTAAAGTTTTTCAAAAGTAGGTCAAAGTCCAAGGTCAAGGTCAAAAGGTCAAAGTTGTTGGTATCCAAAGGAAGGCCTTGTCACAAAGAATACACATGTGAAGTTTGAAACCCCAAGCACCAACTGTTCAGAAGTTATGGCCAAGGTTAAAGTCTCATAAAATTTTGCAAAAGTGGGTCAAACTCCAAGGTCAAGATCAAAAGGTCAAATATGATGGTACCCAAAGACAGGTCTTGTCACAAGGAATACACATGTGAAATATGAAAGTAATAGCTCCAACCAATCAAAAGTTATGGGCAAGGTTAAAGTTGACAACAGACAGACAGACAGACAGACAAACAGATAAACAGACAGACAGGACAAAAACAATATACCCCCGGGATCTTTCGATCCGGGGGCATAAAAAAGGCAATCATTTTCTCAGGGTTTGACAAGTTGTAAATCTTTGGCAGGGCTGATAACTTTACTAGTAGTTGATCACCCCTCCATGTCTAGCTCACACAAGCATTGTTTCAAGACATTCAATATTAAGTATGATTTGAAACTTTTTGTACAAAGACATTTTCCAAGAACAGATAGGTAATATGGCAAAAAAAAAATTATAATTTTTTTATACGAAAGTGCAAAGAAAGCCCTCTAGATTAAAAAAAAAAAAAAACACCGTCGCAAGCCACGGGTTTTGTCGAAATAGAATGGACATAAAACCCGTGGCTTGCGACGTTGAAAAAACTCTATTCCTTCTCTGTATGTCACTAACCACGATATCTTTTCAGCAATAAAGTACTGAGTTTCAGTAAAATTTCCAAAACACACTGCTAACAACTGCTACAGGCGACTCGAATGAATGAATAACTCAGGAAAAGTGCCGAATGACTTAGAGTTTAGGCTGGTTCCCTGGCTCATCCTTGCACGTACTACTAAGCAAAGAAGAGACAGAGAACCAGTTTTTCTTTTTTAATATCGGAATATCTCTGATTTTTTCGCCAAAATCTGAAATGGCAACTCCATCAACAAGACAAATCACGAGAGCACCAGACAAAGGCATTTTCCCTTTGGACCATGAAGGTATTGGAGTTTGAAAATGTTAACTGAATGATCATTAACTAAATTGTTCATTACACTTACAAAGAAAGTGTAACATGTTACTTGGTTGGATTTCGTAAGGAGGAAATTCGAACTTTAAATAGAAACTAATAGTATTGTCATTTAACATGTTTAAGGAAACACATTGGCAAATGAAAATATTTAAAATGATAAATCATTCAAATAAACCATATCATATAACCAGATATGCCCAGTTATTTTGCAAAATATCAAAATTAAATTAGATCATTTTAAAAAATAGTTTTTGCGAAAATTTGGTGCTCTAACGTTACCATGTCTACAATATCTGGCCACAGCTCAGGCGATCGAATCTGCCTGACCTACCCTGGCAGGTCTATTATCTCATCAATCATTCTAACTCAACTAGCCCACTTACTCTCTAACCACCAGGTCCAGCACAATCTCTTGATTTAGCTATGTAGCTTGAAATAGCTATATAGCTCTATTAAGCTATTCAAAATAGCTTGATAAAGCTATTTATGTGCATTTTTTTCAGAAAAGTGTTTTTGTAAGAAATAGACAAAAAGTCGCAAGTATTTGACTATTCTTATATGTACTATGGGCTATCAAAACAACAACCAAAATCAAGGAAAGTTTTAACATTGCAGCATTTGAATACTTTTAAGCAAAAGATGTATTTCCATTGTTTGAGTAACTGTACACTACCTTGTGTGCGTTGAGGCATGGATAAGTATGATTGCTTCTCATTGTACTGAATTATTACCAATCAATTATCTTGTTGACCATAATTGGCCTCCTTTATAATTTCATTGCAGAAGTAACTATCAATTGCTTTATATAGCCCCAAAACTTTTAGAACTTTGAGTACAAAGTCTCTTAAGGAGACGCAATTTGATGAGTGATTTTTACATGCATTATTTTCAGATGAGTTCAAGGTTGAATATTATCACTGCACCAAGGTGCGACTTTTTGTGCATGCCGAGAAAATAACACATTTAAGAAAAAAGTGTGATAAAATAGCTAAATCAAGCTATTCTGAATAGCTTAATAAAGCTATATAGCTAAATCAAGCTATATAGCTAAATCAAGAGACTGTGCCGGACCTGACCACTTAGGAGAGTTGAGAATTCACATTATGGGATCTGGAATGAATAAACAGGTCCAGTACAATCTCTTGATTTAGCTACATTTGTATAAAGCTTGAAATAGCTATGTAGCTTTATTAAGCTATTCAAAATAGTTTGATAAAGCTATTTATATGCAGTTTTTCAGAAAAATGTTTTTTGTAAGAAATAGACAAAAAGTCGCAAGTATTTAACTATACCTCATATATGTACTATGGGCTATCAAAACAACAATAGAAATCAAAGATAGTTCTAACATTGCAGCATTTGAATACTTTCAAGCAAAAGATGAATTTCCATTGTTTGAGTAACTGTACACTAGCTTGTGTGCGTTGAGGCGTACTGGATAAGTATGATTGCTTCTCATTGTACTGAATTATTACCAATCAATTATCTTGTTGACCATAATTGGCCTCCTTTATAATTTCATTGAAGAAATAAGGCCATTCCAAGTTTTTTTTCTCTGTTTAGCGTCCACCCATCTTTCAAAAACCTACCTACCTATTCGCAAAAAACACACAAATCAAAAAATAAAACACAGACTTTATAGTAATAAAAATAACGTCACTCAAAGGATTTGATTTCATTAATCTATTTTTCTTGTAGAAAAAAAACTATTCTTCAGCAAAATCAAGGTATTCAATGCTTACAATATTCCTAATATGACATATTGTAGACAAATATTTTGAGAAATTGACAGAATTCAGTGATTTTGACTAGAATATTCAATTTGAGGACTCATGATTTTGTTTGTTTTTTTTGTGATATGGGGTGTCAAAAACCAATGCGCACGCGGACGCTAAACATAGAAAAAACTTGGAATGGTCTAACTGTATCAATTGCTTTATATACCCCAAAACTTTATGAACTTTGAGTACAAAGTCTCTTAAGGAGACACAATTTGATGAGTGGTTTTTACATGCATTATTTTCAGAAGAGTTCAAAGTTGAATATTTTCACTGGACGAAAGTGCGACTTCTTGTGCATGCTGAGAAAATAACATATTTAAGAAAAAAGTGTGATAAAATAGCTAAATCAAGCTATTCTGAATAGCTAAATCAAGCTATATAGCTAAATCAAGAGATTGTGCCAGACCTGATAAAGTCAGATAATCATATCATTTATAGTATTTGATAATGGGAATATGAGAAATTGTAGGGAAACATTTTATTACCAATATTTTTTTTTCAAACTTTCCTAGGATTATGCAGACAAGAAATGAGACAGTACATGAAGTGCCTAATGGCTAATAACAGGGAAAACGCAAAATGCAGATCAGAGGCCAAGTCATATCTTCAGTGTAGAATGGATAAGTAAGTTTTTCAGCTTGTGCTATCAGAGAAGACAGCTTTAGTCTGTATATTCTCAAATTTCAAATGTAGTATGTATGTGATGAAAGTGCTTGTTCAAAATCGAAAAGAATTCCAAAGCCTTTAAAGTATCAACTCATACTTTTCCTTTAATTTCTTCAGTGATTTGATGCAGAAAGAGGACTGGAAAAATTTAGGATTTCATGAAGAAGATAATATGAAAAATCCTACTTGATGATATTCAGTAAATATGTATCATTAGATGCAAACATTTAATTTTTTCTGTGATAGTAGATCAATGTGGGATATATGTATATTTAATGGAAAGCAATTTGTCATATTTTTAGTCTCTGTATAGAATATTTCAAATAAAATGTTTCAAAATAAATTTTATAATTGTTTGTATTATAATATACTGTCAATAACATTGTGGCTTGGTCTAGTTTGATACACACACACACCCCCTCCCTCACATACACAAAACAGACCTTTAAAATTTTAGTCTTTCACTGGCAATTTGTAATGTCCAAATATTAGCAGAATATTCTTGGAGGGACATAAAATAAACAAACTAAAAAGAGACACTTAATTTTAAAAATTCTCAATTTTGTTGATAACAACTGATCCCATTCTTCTGGTCGCCATACTTTTCTGTAGTTAGTATGCGATGAAAGGCAAGTGATTCTTTTAAATTGTTTCCATAAATTAGTCAACACCTGTCAAAATCTTTAAACTTGCAGGCTCGTAGCAAAATGTTTTGGGTGGATGGGTGACCTCCAGAAAAATTTAACACCCCCCCCTCTAGTTCGAAAATCTTATGGGAGGGAGGAGGTTGGTTGGTTGGTTAGACCCTTCTCTAACTCTTCCACATATTTTGTTTTATTTTTTTTAATTTGCCAGTGTTTGACCGTTCAGCAACAAAAAAAGGGGGTAGCATCAAAATGGAAATTAACATATTAAAAGTGCAGCAAAAGAATATTCTTACAAAAAAGGAGCCCCCCCCCCCCCCCCCCCCCCCCGCAAACTTGGTTCAGTAGGCTTTTCATTTTTGCCACCATCAGACTGTAATAAGTGTAATACTTAAGGTCATCTGATACTCAAGAACAGCAAAGCCATGTTGAGTCGTATTGATATGGAAGCATCCTCAGGTAGTGTAGATTCAATTTTGTTCAAATCATGACCCCTGGGGGTAGGGTGGGGTTACAGTGTGGCCAAGGCTTGATGATAAAAAAAAAAAAAAAAAACACGAGTTTGGTAAAAATCATATCCAACCACAAATCATGGGAGATCCTATATTTAATATATGAAAAACGTCAGTCAGCATTATTTTGACTTAATGATAGATTGTATTTGCTGACAAGGTCATTGTATGGACCATAGAACTTACGAAATGATGACTTTAAACGAGGCTGTTAATATTCTTGTTTCATCAACTTGTTTGTCAATAACTTACCTCGTTTTAGAAATTGTTTATATGTAGAACATGCTCTTGCGTTTCGAATCAACTGAGAGATATAAACCCCATATGCAGGTGATAAGGGTATATTGCTGCATAAGTAAGGGGCGTTGACGATTGAAAAGTTAAAATCATCACGTTTATCATAAAGCTTTGTTGTTAGATTACCATTAAAGATGCTTGGACACAGATTTGAAGTTAATATTTTCTCAAATTTTCTGTATAATTTCATGACTTATATGTTGCTATAGCATTTCATACAAAAATATAATAAAAATCTCATTTCATCTCGATGTTATTGAAACTTCAAATTTCTGGACGCGTTTGATTAACACATTCTTGCACTTTCACAAATTTTAATTTTATTCTTAATACTTAAGAAAAGTGGCAATTTTGTTGTGTATTAATGAAAAATATTAAAACTATAATCCAGAAAATTCAGAGTAGAAATGTTCGAAAGCAAAACCCACTCACAGTATTGTCAGTCCGTGCTCAGTGGTGTGTGCAGACTATAACAATTGAACAAACCCGGTGAATCGTAAACATTAACAATAACAAAGCTCGTGCCCTGTTTACAAAAACAGTTTACGTTTCACGGGTGTATTCAATTTGTTAAACTCTGTACACAACACTGAGCACGGGCTGACGATATTCATGTGATATTAGTGAGGGGGTTTGCTTTCGCACATTTCTACTCTGAATTTTCTGGATTATAGATGTAATGTTTTTCATTAATACACAACAAAATCGCTTCTTTTCTTAAATATTAAGGATAAAGATAAAATTTGTGAAAGTGCAAGGATGTGTTAATCAAACGCGTCCAGGAATTCGTAGTTCCAATAATTTCCAGATAAAATAAGTTTTTAATTATATTTTCGTGTGAAATGCTATTGCAATATATAAGTCATGATATTATACAGAAAATTTGAGAAAATATTAACTTCAAATCTGTGTCTAAGCACCTTTAACGTCCTTTCTAGTAAAACAGATGTGTCAGACTCTGTGGTGTCTTTTATTTCAAGCCCACTGGGATATATCGTGTCGACATATGAATGGAAATAACTATTGTTAATTGATAATACGTCGTCGATATTGAAGTGCGCAGCAAGAGTTTTTTTTTCTCATGCATAAGATTTTGAATAAATTCTGCTTTATATGAATACAAAAATTAAGAGGTCTGCTAATAACGGGGCGCAATTGGTATCCAGAATTCCAACAGATTGTCGGAAGACCTGATCTTCAAAAACCACATAGATACTGTCAACCAGAAACTCAAGTATCTTTTTAATATCAACTTCATAGTGCTTGTGTGTATAATCAGAATATTTTTAACAAAATAATTTTGCAAATGACTAATGGCATGGTAAGTAAATTTACGAGTTCCATTTTTATTGAAAAAGCAGCTGTCAATGATGTCAAAAAGCCTGGACTTAAATTTATCGTGGGGAATGGTTGTATATATAGAGTTGAAAAGTCGTAAGTTTTTATGTTATTGATTTTATAAAATTTTGTGATTTCAAATTTTCCAAAAGTTCCTTGGAATTTTTAAGTATCCATGTATAATTTACACCACTTCTCGAATATATTGTTGCACAGTACTCCTGAAGTTTCTCCTTCACAGCTGTTAATATTTTAGTGAGGAGTGAAGAAAGAGGCTTGGTATAATATTTACTGGAACCCGCTATGTATCTTTGTTTGTAAGGACTTTATAAACTTTCGGAATCTAACACAAATGTGGTAATTCATTTTGGTTGTTGAGAATATTAAAAATATTCAACACTGACGTATGATTTTGAAGAAATTCTTCCTTTGAAAGAGAGCTATGGGTATAAGTTGGATTATCACTTGTAGAATTAAATCCCAGTTCCTCTAAAATACAATTAAAATAATGAGTCTTGCAAACAAAGTTGTTACCTGCTTTGTCAGCTGGGACCAGTACATACTGATCTTGTAGTCTATCTAATTTTTTTTCACTTCTGAATTTTTGATCACAGAAGGATAGATGTTTTTCATATTGTCCCTCAATCGCTTAATGGGAGATTTTAACATACATCTGATACATTTAATCCATTCTGACAGAGTGTCAAGGTCTTCTTTTTCATGTCTGGCCCATCGCCTGGGTAATCTTCCACATAATTCATTATGTTTATGAAATTATCATTCCAGTTGAAAGATCGGGGTTCCCTAAATTTTGACCCTTTTAAAATAAGTGATTTAAGATCCTCATTATTAAGTATATTTACGTCACCAGTAATAACGTGTAAAGCAGGAAGTTGTAAGGTGAAGAAGAACAATTACAAGATAGAGGATTATGTTTCAGATGCTCAATGTCCAGGCTCTGTAAAGTTTTCTTGTAATTAAAAAGTTTGGAAGCAAAAGTCGATGTATATTTGTAGGAAATACAGGGTGTAGTCTTCAATTTGAAATATGGTGAAATACAAGACCGGACCCTTTTGTGACTAAGAATATTACTCATATTAACCGCATCAATTCCTTTGTTGGGATATTGAAGGAATCCAAATATGGACTTTCTTTTATCTTTTCAAGTAGACTGTTTAAAAGTTTTAAATGGACAGAGTAAAGTTTGGTGCGAAATGTGATGAAGACCTAACTGTTGAATTACATCATGTAGTAATGAATCAAAGGAGACAAGGTGTATAAAAGGTTTATTGCAAGACTCATTCCCATGACTACGCTTACGTAAAAAAGTGTTAGTAATCAAAACGTCACAGGTTTTGCAGTTTTTCACAGAACACTTAGAAATAGAAGACATGGGATCGGAAAAAGAATCTTCAAATATATCTCTAATAGAAACTTTACATTCCTTCAATTTTTTATGTGAACTATTGGTTTTATACCAAAACTGGGAATCTGAAGACTGCACATATGACATATGTTTAATATCCCTGAGGACTATCAAACCACGAATGAATCAAAATGAGCACATTCCTGCAGGGTAGGTTGTAAGCTATATTTATCACCTGTCGAAGTTACAAAATGTCTGTGTGTAATAAAAAAAACTTAACGGAGATGTATCAGAAAGGCAAAGTTGTGGACCATTCTCGACCTGGACGTCTTCAAGTGACATCTGATGGACACAACATTTGTCTAGTGCACCCTAGGGATGACTTCTAAATCGCCAAGCCCGACGCCAAGAAAAACATGCACACAGCCGACCACGGAAGTTATATGGTGAAGGCTGTACATAGTCCTGGTTAGGAATGCAGTATATTGGTAAAGCGTCTTACTTTTCGACAGTCTATGTTTTCATTAGGAAAGTCATAACGAATAATTCAGGGTCTGTCGCTTATCGTTGCAAGCCACAGGTTTTAAAGCGCTAACACCCCGAAAAATCAGTAGATGAAATATGGAGATAACGAACAGTATTCAAGCACAAAGCCCATTAAAACAATACAAATCGGGAGCAGAGCAAGCACGGACCTCCAAAAACACCAGAAGTGGGATCAGGGATCAGATGCATTAAACAGAATTGAGTAGCTGATTAAACACCGTGGTTTTTAGTAAAATTTTGTGATTTTAAATTTTCTAATTTTCATTTCTCGACTATATGTTTTGCAAAGTCTTTGCTGAGATTTCTCCTTGACTGCTGATACAGTTTAAAGATTTGACGAAATTCCATCAGCATTGAGGAATTTCGATAAATTGTCATACTTTGGCACCCTTTTGTGGCCTAGTACACTTTGAATCAAAATTAGTGCAGATTTAAATTAAAAGAAGCATCATTTAAAGTTTTCAACTGCAACTGCAAACTGTCACAATTTTAACTGTGTTTTGAATTTTATATATCAGGCAAGGAGCCAAATTCGGCCGTTACCATACCATGTCTTTTGCGGAAGTGGTAGATGATCTTTACAGACATCTCCGTTAAGTTTTTTTTATTACACACAGACATTTTGTAACTTCGACAGGTGATAAATATAGCTTACAATCAATCATCAAGGTCAAAGTTACCGCAAGTTTTTAACAATGTTGTGTACACGATACATATAGTAGCATTTGAGTTAAATATATAATTATGAATACCAATGACCCTCCTCGGCCTGTGATCTTTCATCCTTTTAAAAATCGGTAAACTCTCTTGGTCACCAGATAATCTGCAGCAAGTATGAAGTAAAAAATCACGCTCTTTAAATTATGTCTTTCACTTAATTTTTCTTCTCCTGACCACAACACATCTCTACAACAAAAGTTACCTGAACTCAAAGATTAAAAGATACTCTTTAAACTGTTTCCAAGTTATCAGCTACCACTGCAGTCTTTTAGCCTTAATGTTTGAGTTCTAAAAATTGCACGTCTATTTTCGTTGTCGTCTACCATCAACACAGCACGTAAAGTAACTTCTATCTTGACATTTGACCTAAGAATTCATTTTTTTCTTTTCTACCTCTTCTTAAAAAGTTTGAAACATCAACTAAATAATTTCTCCTTTATTTCTTATGAAAATCCAATTTTTGTTCTTCTAGACTAATGAAATATATGGAGATAACGAACAGTATTCAAGCTCAAAAGTCCACTAAACGTTACAAAATAGGAGTAGAGCAAACACGGACCTCCAAAACATCAGAGGTGGGATCAGGTGCCATGGAGGAGTGAGCATCCCCTGCTGACCGGTCAAACCCGCCGTGTGCTCCTTGTCATGATAGGGAAATAACGGAAAAATCCGTCGTCAATTCAGTGTGTAAATAATGGCCTTACAATTAGTGTGAACAAGCATTCTGAGAGTATTGCATTAGTAATATTAGTCCCCTACCAGCAAGTGTAATTAATCTGGTTCCCGTTAAAAATTGAAAATGCCATAATTCCGTCAAAAATCAATGAAGTGGAACGAAATGCAAACTTGATCTATAACTCATCAAGGTTAAGTCACATACCAAAAATCAGCTCAATATCTGCAAGCGTTTAGAAAAAAATGCGGAAAACCCTGAAAAATTGAAAAGGTCGTAATCCCGTCAAAAATCATTGAAGCGGAACGAAATGCAAACTTGCTCTGTAACTCATCGAGACACACTCACATACCAAAAATCAGCTTAATATCTGCAAGCGTTTGTAAAAAAAAAAGTGCGGAAAACCAAGTGGGACAGACTGACAGACAGACAGATATTTTAAAACTTGTCCGGTTTTTAAAAGCATCTTTTTAAAAGGATATCTTAGGATAGGGACTCTTTCGTCAACGTAATGTGCAAGCACGGATCGGTAATACATTTTTTTTTCATCCACTTTACGTATGCAAATAATTCATATAAATGTTCTTCGATTCCTTTTTAATAATCATTATTTATCATAAAAAAAGAAACATGACTTGATTGTTTTTGCTGTTTTTAAATCATTGAATCTCATTCCATGTCTTTATTTGTATGACCTCTCATAAATTATACTCTGAAATTGTTCTTTTCGTTCTGGGCGCCCCCTCCCCCCCAAAAAGTTCAGCTATTATTTGTAAAAGAAAAAAAAGCATTCTGAGAGTATTGCATTAGCAATACTAGTCCCCTACCGGCAAGTGTAATCTGGTTCCCGCTTAAAATTTCCTTCAAAAATCAATGAAGCGGGACAAAATGCGAACTTGATCTATAATTCATCAAGGTTATGTCACATGCCAAAAATCAGCTTAATATCTGCAAGCGTTTAGAAAAAAAATTGCGGAAAACCTTGAAAAATTGAAAAGGTCGTAACTTCGTCGAAAATCATTGAAGCGGAACGAAATGCAAACTTGATCTGTAACTCATCAAGATACACTCACATACCAAAAATCAGCTCAATATCTGCACTCGTTTAGAAAAAAAGTGCGGAAAAACAAGTGGGACAGACAGACAGAGGGACAGACAGACAGCTAGACAGACAGAGGAACAGACAGACGGACGGACAGACTCAGAGGAAACCTATAGTCCCCTCCGGTTTACACCGATAGGGGACTAAAAAAATTAGTTCTGCATTTGACCAGAGACATAGTATTGATTGATTGGCTGTATGTTGTTTAACGTCCCGTTCGAGACTTTTTCACTCATATAGAGACGTCACCATATACAGGTGAAAGGCTTCAATTTTAGACCTTCAACCGGCACTAAGGGCCATTGAGCAGTGAGGGTTCTTTATCGTGCCAACGCCTACCGTGACACGAGACCTTGGTTTTTAAGGTCTCATCTGAAGGACCCGAAATTTTCACTTCAAAGTGCCGAGCGCTTGGCGAAGGAACAGTTGTGAAGGTCGACCAGAAACGTAGTAAGGGACGGGATAAAGAGATTTCTTTTCGGAATTACTAGTATATCAAAATGAGCTTGCATATTCTGTAAAAAAATATTTTGGCGACCATTCAGTGTAATCTTCCACCTCCCCAACTCAACTTTCAAAATTAGTGTTTTGGGCTCAATCATCAACCTGAAAACTTTCCTCCAAAAAGGGCCCTTTTATTATATTACTATTATAACCTCAGTGCATTTAGCATCAATGTATATTCAGTTCCTTTACAAAAATATGCCTATCATTTGTTTCATTGCTTTTATTCATTTCTGTATACAAACTTTAGTCAATTTTCCGTACGCTAGTCGAGTTTCCACCCAGCAAACGTAGTTCTTGCATGCCAGTCAATGCTGGGTATGTACGTAGTACAAGCCATGACTGACCGAATATACACATCGTCGTGCTGGTTTAACGGCACTACTATAGTCCCTGTTTCAGAATCATAATCTCGACTGTTACCGTCCGTCTCTCCAAAGCAACTACTAACTATGTCGTCGTTGACATAAATGGCGAATGCAGTTTTTCCATGCTCACCGGTGTAGATGGTCCACGTAAATACGTAGAGCCCAGCCACGGGTGCTGAGAACATTCCGCTGTGTCTGTTGTAACCTCCACCAAGATTTGTTTTGATGGTGTCGAAGATTAGCATGTGATGATTACTTGGATTATGCTCTGATTTTGACATATAGGCATAGAATGCTATAGGAGTTCCTGAGCCAATCTGCCTTTTTCCTTTGCTCATAGAAGATGACTTTCCTGATGATTCTGAAAAATATACTGAGTACACACCAAATAGAATGTATTAACAATATCTAGAAACTAAGGAATTATTAAATTGCCATCAGTTTGACCAAATAATGACAATAATTCCTCAGTGTCTATACGTACGTTTCAAACCTTACAAATCAGGATTTATTTAATTAAATTCGAAGAACCAGTAAATGCTATTTTATACTATACATAATATTAACATTTAGTTGTTTGTTGGATGCTTAAAAAAGATTACCAATCATTTCAATCTGACCAGGTTCTGAAGATGGAATATTTTCTTCTTTTTCCTTAGATACATTCTTGTCCTTGAAAGCACCAATGGGTTCATCAAGATTCGTCGTGACGAACAGAGATGTTTGTAGGTCATCAACATCATTCCGTAGGACTTTATTCTCAAGTCGTAGTTCCCTGATCTCACGTTCCTGACGCCTTATGATGGCCTTCAATGCTTGATTCTCATTTTGGATGTCGCGAATTTGTTGCTCTTGTCGCATTAGAATAGTCCGTATTTCACGAAATTCATTTTCTATGTTAGTGTTTGCAGAAACTGACAGAAACACCGACAAAAGAAATAGCAAGCAAATGATCTTGTTCATATTCACCACCCAACAAAATGACTTGTACCAATTTCGTGAATGTTAGATAAGACATAATATGAAACAGGTCGGTGAACTTTATCTATAAAGTAACCTGCTAATCAGTATATATTTTGATCTCTGACAGAATATTGTTTCCTGCTTTTCAAGCGAATCTTTTAAATTTTTTTTATTTTTATTATTTTTTTTGTTGCAAGTAACATAATTATAAATGTTCAAACTCTAGATTGAGGAATTTGAAACAGTTCTGAAACTGGTTTTGAGAAAGTTTTCAGATTCGTAGAAAACAGATGGTTTTCAATATTTAATTAAGCAGAGAATGCATGAAATCATAATAATTTGAAGATATCTTTACCTAGATCCTCATGTTGTATTTTATGACACCCTCCCCCTTTCTACCTCATTTATGTATGAAAATTATTACAACATTTTATTTTCCCACTTATTTTGTATTGTGTGCATCAAATTTAGGAGTAATGTGAATGTCCGTGTAAATGTTGTCTGTTACAATCAGAGTGTAACAAGTTCTGAATTTGCTTTGATTCATTGGACCTTGATTTTTCTTTACCATAATACATCTAATATATGTAATATTTTGAAAATGAAATCTTTCTCTGATAGTGACCTTGACTAAATGTATAAAACAAAAAGACAACACTTGTACATGTATCACCACATTAGACGAACTTTACTTGCACATCTGATCTTTAGTCTTCAAACCTTAACACTCTCTGTCCCAAGAATGGAACTGAGAGGTCAAAGGGTTCTCATTATATCATATATCCAAAATAGTTTAGGAAATATAGGAAAGGAAACTTAGAGAACAAGTCAGAGTGCGAGGTTATATAATTGGAACTTATGTAAAGTTGAACAAATCTATAAAATGCATGAAAATGGCATATCAATGCAATATACGCAGTGTCATTAACCAATGTTCGTAAAATCAATACTAATTTGGGAAAAAACAATTAATACTTTTTAATTGAATAAACTGAACATTTCTTATACGTGTATGATTTCACGACATCCAATAATTCTTATTTCAATAGAATGTCGAAATACTTCCGACTCGGCGTTAATCAACAATTAATCAATCATTTTTTTTTTCAAATGTAATTTTGTATTTTATTAGCCGGGCTTTGCTGAAAGCAAAGTCCTGGCTGTAGGCATCGTGATCGACTGCCTTACTATAAATAGCACATGTTCAGAAAAGTAAACAAAAAGCCTAACAGCGTCAAAGCAGACGCTTCCGATAAACAAAATAGTCACATTGAAAGACGATACTTAAACAAATATTTTTTACATCTCAATCTACGGAATTGTTTATTGATCAATATTTTTGTTTGGGAATTAAATTGAAAGAGGAATTAGATATTTAGTTTATTATTACCGTGATATAACAATTTGTGCACATACGCTACTGAATGCATATTGTAAGCGAACTATTTTCAATAAGCGCGGGCTTTTCGACAGGTTGCCTATATTTCATATCGTTTTCGTCGATGTTATGCGAGTGGTTATATTCTCTGTTTTGTCTTTCAGCAAATAAATAGATAAGTAAATTGGAGTTTAAAGAATTAATGTGCGTTATGCCTGAATTAGGTCGCATGACAATTGTACATGGTGTATCTGGTGTATCTAGTCGGCGATAAAAGTAGTGTTTGTTTGAAACTTTAAGAATATCTCTAAAAATATGTGCATTTCTTTAACTATGAATTACATAAATTATTAAACCAATATGAATTTAATTTTTTCTCAAATTAAATTCTAATTCAAATCTATCTAAAGAAAAATCAGCAAACCATATGGTTCAACATTCTTTTAAAAAAAGTTTGGCAATTGACAGGCAAACATTTTTTGTAAAAAAATTAATTGCTTTCTTAAAAGTTAAAATTAGTGACCTTAAATGTTTAAATTAGTGACATTAAATAAAACAAATGACTTATATATTCCCCTCACTAGCCATATGTTATTGGTAGAATTAAAAAAAAATGTATGACATTTTTTGTTCGTTTACTGATATTATAGTATAATTAGTCTGACCTATATTTATTTACGTCCGTGATGCATGTATAAACAGTAAGCCCACTGACAATGTCGTGATATCTGTAATTGTTTTTTTTTAAGATCAGTATAGCATTAAGGTGTCTTGAATGGCAAGAAATTTAATGTAATAATGAATTTTAAAAACATCGGTGGTCATTTATCAGATGTAATTTGGTACGATACCGTGTTAATTCCTGCTGATATTTTCAGGGTTGATCTTGTGAAAACGGCTTAACAGGAGACAATTTATTAAAATTTTCCTTTCAAAATAATTGCAAAAAGATGATGATTTTATGATTATATTAACGGCATAAAATAACAGCGAACACCGACTACTTGCAGCAAACAAGTGCGCCGCCATTACGAATTCGTAAAACAAAGAGACAGTTACGGATACTCGTAATTTTCTGAAAAAAAAATGTGTAGGAGGTCAGTCGAGTATAACCGGAAACAAACAAATTTTATTTAGCCTAATGATGTATGTATGTAAATATTCATGAAGATTAATCTTACAGTTGTAATACTGGTAATGCTGAAATGTTTTCAATATATATATTACTACTCAAATAAAAAAAATTAAGATTTGAATGCGTTTAAAGAAAAGGGTTTGAAAATACGGTATTACTTCGATAACCCTGAATGCAATTAAAATAACTTTCTCCTTTCTAATAAATAATTTCGAACAAAATCCTTATGATGGTAAAGATCTTGTGTTTGTTTGTTTGTATGTTGTTTAACGTCCCTCTCGAGAATTTTTTCACTCATATGGAGACACTACCACTTGACGGTGGAGAGCTCCAAATTTTGTCCTATACTCGGCACTTACGGCCATTGAGCAGTGAGGGATATTTTTCGTGCAAGCACCTATTGCGACACGGGCCCTCGGTTTATACGGTCTCAACGGAAGGACCGGTCTCCACGTCCCACAGTGGGATTCGAACCCGCGACATAAGGATTAACTCCTTACTTCGCGACTCTAGAGCAGACGCTCTTACCACTGCGCCACGCGGGCGACTAAGATCTTGTGTAAAGGTGATGTAAATGAAGTTCAAAACTATTTGTTTTCTTTCATAATATGAAATAAACAATGCGATTCCATTTGGTTAATATTTTAATTTAATAGTATTAATTTAAATGACTGGGATAAAGATTTATATTCTGTGAAGCATGGCATATAAATAAATAAAAATGTAAATTTTAAGATATAATTTCATGTGAATATGTTTATGTATAATATATAAATTATTTATACCCATTTAACAATCAATTTAGCGTCGAAAATTTTTATGCTTACAAATTCAGATCAAATTTTTAGTGAAAAGTCAATGGTATGTTTTGAATGTGAAAATTTTGTTCGAGACTTCTCACCTTGGATTCATCTCGCATGTGCTCCCAAAGCGCTTTACAGTATATTGAGCGTGCGCGCGCATTCCAAAAAAAAAAAAATGGTCTTAAAACATATGCAAGCTCTCAAGGGTGCTGGGAAATAAAAATCGTTTATGTTAACATATAATTAAAAGAAAACAACATATAAAAATGTTCATTAGTCTTTACCTAAGTACAACACATTATAATTTTTCAGAAAAAGTTGGTTAGTCTTTGCTTCAAAACTTCCTGTTCAGAATGAAGAGCCATCTATGTACATAAAGACCTGAATACATCATGATTTTCTCAGGCAGTGACCATTATGGCCGAACCTGGAACTAGAACTAGACTCATATTCATGTCATAAAGATTAGATAATTATAATTTTCGTGCAGCTGGTTTCCTAGAGGGCCAAAAATAAAGAATATTTCTTTTCTGATTAATACAGGCATGTAGTATCATTATCAGAAAAAGGAGAATTGTCCAAACCCAAAAAATCCTATTCCGTTGGAGAAGGAGTAGGGGTGGGCTACAACTTACTTTCACATTTCGAATTTCATTAATTCATTACCAAATTACCGTACTTTTAATATGCTACAATAAAATGATGGGTACAATCTAATTAAGATTAGACTATCCATTTTGCTTTTAGTAAATCTGTTCGTCGCTCGTGATAAATACCTGGTTTATATTACGAAGAGTGAGTTGAAAGTTCCAATTTAAATTTGATTGCGAAGAGTCAATCAACCTTTCAATGTACATTGTCCATTGTAAAAGTTTATGTTTGAAAAATGGTGACAACCCTAGCTCCCCCGATACTATGTGCCTGTATGAATCAGCAAAACCACTCAAAGTGCACTGTTACCATGCATAACAATTGTGAGCTTAATGTTTAGAAAGGTATAAATGTATTTTCATTAAAAATATCACCAAGTCCTATCCTGGGGTCTTAACGTTGGGTTCTGGACCGTAAATTTTAATTATTGGTAGATGGGTTATTGTTAATTATAATCATACAAACTCGACCTGTTAAATATCAATGGTCAGAAAGAAAGATTTTCAAATATGTACTAATTTAGGATTAGACAATACACTCGAACATATTAAAGCCCGGCTTTCAGTACTTTCAGTACTTTGATTTTATTTGGGGAAAAAATTATAATCAGTCAAAGTAAGAACATCATTTATTTGTCAAAGAAACAGGGAGAGAGTTTTTTCGTATAGGAAGCATTTCTAAAAGACTCATTTTTTGATAGCCTATCCTTGCATTGTAAGGTAAGGTAAAAAAAAAAAATCCTTTTTTAAAGTTCTTATTCTTACGTTACTTACTAGGGATTAAATTGTAACTTTCTTGCAGGCTGTCCAGTCTTCTCAGCTGCATATTTAAAGGAAAATTGTACCAAGAAAACTATGAGGTATATAATGATCATGATAAGATAATTTTTAATCACCTTAGTCGGCTAATTTTTTTTTTTAAATTGTTAAGGAATACTTATTTAATGAATTTGAATTATCAAAAATAACAGTTTCAATAAAAATTGAACTTGGAAGTTTTTGTACCTTGTGATTGGTCATCAACAAAATGACTTTGTTAAAAATTACTCTGATTCTACAAAAGAGTACTTTGAAGTTGATATTAAAAGGATGCTGGAGTTTCTCATTGAAGACATTTATGTAGTCTTTGGAGACCAGGTTTTCCAACAAACTGTTGAAATTACGATGGGCAATAATTGTACTACCGACTTGTTTTTATATTCCTCTGAAGCAGAATTTAATCAAAAACTTCTACAATAAAAGAAAACACTTGCTGCGGCCTTCAACTCGACATTCAGATATATCGACGACGTTTTATCAATTAACAATAGTTACTTCCATTGACATGTCGACTCGAAAGATCCAAATGAGCTTGAAATAAAAGATTCTGCCACATCTGTTTCATATTTGGATGTTTTATTGACTATAGACGATAAGGGCCAACTAACAACTAAATTGTATGAACGGACGAGATCACTTTAGCTTTTCCATTGTCAATTTTCTTATTTATGTATAGTATAATTTACTATAGATTTTTCTTATTAGGATATCTAAATTACACCACTTATCACATTCCAATTGATAATTGGTAACTGCTTAAAATAATAGAGGAGTTTGAGGAAGACGAGAGTTTGAAAGATAGACGGACGGATGGACCAGAGGCTTGTTCAACAGAGCAAACGTTCGCGAGCGCTAGCCAAATTTCCTTATCACTCCAACAGAATTTTTAGCGAGCGTTTGCAAACGTTCGCTCTGTTGAACAGGCCACTGGATAAGAACAATATTCCCTTACTTTCTTTAGAAAGTGCGGATATAAAAAAAAATATATAAAAACAAATTTCAGTGCGCCTAAGTCCTTTTCATGTTAAATGTAGTGTCGCTTGAAAAACAAACTACATGTTATATGTGGTGTCGCTTGAAAAACGAACTACACGGTATTCATTGATAATTGGCATGGGACACACAGATAGCATATGCATAAATAAATTAATGAGTTGTCCCATTTTATCACCTACGCTTTCATTTATTTTTCACTCTGAATTACTCGATAGTTTGTCATGTGAGTAATAAAAATGTAAGACGTTGTTGAGAATGCATCTACTGCATATACACAATTTTGAGCGGAAGACGGATACTCAAAATTGTCAGTCTTTTAGATATTGTAGAAATAAGTAATTCTCCTTGATAAGCCCGAGATCATGAATGTTATAGTTGCAAGACCATAAAAATTGCGAGTAGTCAGTCCTGTCCTATCATATAGATTATAAAATGGATAGTTACATACTTTTGGATGGCCTTAAAGACCGAGTTCATGTGTCAGGAGGCTATTGGAGGATAAATATGTTCAAAACCACCGCTTTGCACAGATCAAAATTACCGCTGGAATCATTTTAATTTTAGGGGGCCAATGTTCATGGGCAAGCAAAATTTTACTTGTTCGCGGGGACGTAGCTTCGCGGGTTACTCGTTTAATACTGTAGATTTAGTGAGTGACAACAGGTAACAACATTGTCTTTGTTTGTAAGGCTCATTACATAAATTGTATTTTAGAGGAACTGGGATTTAATTCTACAAGTGGTAATCCAACTTATACCCATAGCTCACTTTCTTTTGGAACATTTGAAATCACAAAATTTTACCAAAATCAACAACATAAAAACTTTTCAACTTTATATACAACCATTCCCCACAATAGATTAAAGTCCAGACTTTCTGACATCGTTGACAGCTGCTTTTTCAATAAAAATGGAACTCATAAATTTACTTACCTTGTCATTGGTCATTTGCAAAATTACTTTGTTAAAAACAATCTGATTGTACACACAAGTACTCTGAAGTTGACATTAAAAGATGCTCGGGTTTCTGATTGGCAAAATCTATGTGGTTTTTGGAGACCAGGTCTTCCAACAATTTATTGGAATTCCCATAAGTACCGATTGCACCCCGTTATTAGCAGACCTATTTTTGTATTCATACGAAGCAGAATTTGTTCAAAATCTTTTACGTGAAAAGAAGAAAACACTTGCTGTGGCCTTCAACTCGACATTTAGATATATCGACGACGTATTGTCAATTAACAATGGTTATTTCCATTCTTATGCCAACACGATATACCCCGGTGAGCTTGAGATAAAAGATACCACAGAGTCTGACACATCTGTTTCATATTTGGATATTTTATTTGAAAAAGACGTAATTGGTAATCTAACAACAAAGCTTTATAATAAGCATGATGACTTTAACTTTTCAATCATCAACTTCCCTTACTTACACAGCAATATACCCTTATCAACTGCATACGGGGTTTATATCTCTCAGTTGATTCGATACGCCTGAGCATTCTCTACGTATGAACACACTGAATTGTCGACGGATTTTTCCGTTAGTTCTCGATCATGACAAGGAGCACACGGCGGGTGTGACCGGTCGGCAGGGGATGCTCACTCCTCCACGGAACCTGATCCCACCTCTAATGTCTTAGAGGTCCGTGTTTGCTCTGCTCCTATTTTGTAATGTTTAATGAACTTTTGAGCTCGAATACTGTTCGTTATCTACACATATTTCATTTACAAAATAAACGTTCGTGGGTTAAGGGTGACCCACGAAATCTACGAACATTGTTTCCCCACGAGTAATGATGATTTCGCAGTAAATTGTTATCCTCAAACTCTTGCTAATTTTAAAAAATAATATGGAAAAGTTTTCATAATCAATCAAAATATTTCTACTATGTAGATGATAATGCAAAGTATTTGGTCTTATTTAAATTCAGATTCGTCTGTCAGTTAATTTGAAGTTTATTTCATCGGACTTAGACATTGAATTGATAGACTTTGTCACACTGGCCTGACAGTTGGAAAATTTTCTCAAAAAAAGAAGAGATGCTTTTAAACACACTCTCTGCTATACCTTGGTACTTAGTAACTAGCGAAAAACCACTACAGTTAGTGTATATTTTACATAAATATACGAGCATAATTATGCATCTATGCTCACGTGAGCATGTGGCCCATGGGAGTCTTATTCAAGTATATCATGTAATAAACGGATTGCTGATCTGAAATAAAAGTTCTTAGAAAAAAGAGCTTTTTGCTTTAAATTAAAAAAAAAATTGCCCGCAATTAGTTCTGAGGATAAAAACAAAACTCCCGAAACCTTATTGCAGACACTAGGAGGGTCCCCTTTTACAAAAGATAAAAAAGATTGACTTTTTTGTAAAATCTTGTAAAAATTTATAATGTTATTAGTAATGTAAAACGAGATCCAGTACACTACCAATCATATTTCAAAAAATGTTGCTTTTGTGTAAAATGCAAGAGAAGGTTTGGGAACATTGTTTTTGTATAAAATATCGTTTTCTCAACCCCTGGTTGCCCTTCTAGGTGAAAAAGAAAGTTCCGAAATCTTATTGAAAATCAACAGAAAATCACCATTCAATCATGGTCCAAAAAAGAATTGGTTACTGTTCAATATGCGAGAGACCTCTGAGGAAGAAGATAGTTGACGGACTGACGGAGCTAGGGACCGGTATAAGAACAACATATATCCAACTTTCTTTGGAAAGTATAGGTTAAAAAATCAGTTCTCGTGATGAGCATGAATACACATCTTTTGATGAGCAGCAGACAATAAGAATGTATTTTTATAGAATTTTTGGTTTTGATATAGTCATATTGTTCTATTACTTTATTATTCAAACTTCTTTCTGTTCAATTCATAAATGAAAATTCGAACATAAAAATGAATATTTGAAATATTCATTTCCATGATCGATTTTTCATTTTAAAATAATAAGGCTAGGTACGACAATAACTTTGTCAACCATATTTGCTTAAGTATTATTTCAAGAAATTAATTATTATATCGATCTGCATAAAGAATCAACGTTATTTTCTAAAAAAAAAAAAAAAAAAGTTTGGGTATATTGTAATCACTGTCCTTTCGACTCTCATCCACCAAACTCTACTCACGTTTTTAGCAGTGGCTTATTTACATAAAAAGTGAAGATCTTTCGCAATGTGGTTGGTGAAGTTCTGTAGATGTGCAAAAAGGTTTTGAAGTTTTCAATTCCATCTGGGATACCAACTTCCCACAAAGAGACATTTTTGTACAAAAACCATATTCCAATAACTCATGTTCTTCATTACTCAGTAGCCAATAATATGGTGTTCGTGGAATATGATTGATGGTGTCATGTAGCAATGAAGGTTTTGGAATTTTTGTTTTTATCCTTGGAAGTAGTAAGGGGCCGATTTATTTTTAAAAATACAAAACTCTTCGTTAATCCCAGACTGATAATAAATTTATTATATAAAAACTGACATCAGAGGCCTACAGGTCACATGCTCACCTGATCATTAGTTTTTGCTCAATTTAATATACATGTATGTATATTTTTATGTATAGTATAGAACAATAGTAACTATTGTGGCTTTTTCGCAGTTACCAAGGTATGAGGGAGAATAAATCACAAGTGGGAAGTACTGTCTCATGACAGCATCTAGGTTTTTGCTGGTTTAATGATTTTACGGGAATATTTTATATTTTACCCACAGTGGATTCACTGTAGTCGATCGAAATAAGTCTTATATTTGCCCTTTTTTGGAAATAAAATTTAATTTTTCTCACATTTGAGTTATTAAAATTTTTCTTTTCACTCTTTTACAAAGTCGCACATGTATATTTAAGAAACAATTTTTTATTCAATTAAGACTTTCAAATAAAATAATCCAAATGTCATTGAAGATTTTTGTGTTCTTCTTGTCATGTTCTTCAAAACTGATGAAACCATAAAAAAATTAATGATGTAGAAAAGTAAGTTTTGAGGTTCTTTATTGCAAATCTATATACATATACTATATCACAGTGTTTCCTTTTTTTTCAAGAAAATCTGAAGAGACATCGTATGTTTATCACCAATTATTAGTGGCCGTCTCCAATTAAAGCAAAGCGATTATAACCTTATAATATGCCTTATTTTATTCATATTTAATGGATGATGCTGGTAAAGCAAATCCAACTTGAACACCTCTTACACAACCACTGACTCTTGGTGATGAACAAGTGTTTAGAGAAGGCGTAATAATATGACGTCAAACAGAAATACAATGACTGATGATTTATAGATACAATTTTAACAAACACTAATGAAACATTTCTTACACAGAATTACTGGTTTGTAAACATAACAAATTATGCTGATAGATGTAAGAAAATACTGTACCAACTCCTAATCAATAATGCATATCTATCAGAGTAAAAACAGCAATTCTCTACGTAGAAAACATTTTTTTTAAAATTAAAAACAATCAAAAAATCAATATCAGTAAACACAAATATTTGCATCCGTGTGGGAATGAGATTCAAATTAACAATGCGGTTACGAAACATAGTCATCTTTAACACCAGCAAAATAGTGTAACTAGAATGTAAAATGTAACAACTGCAGATATTACTGAAGTCAACAACCTCTACAGGAGATTTTAGAGTTTCAGATTAACGCTTGGTGTCATAGAATGCCAGACTTATATCTCCTGGAGTTTCCGCTCCTGATGCCCTGGAGAACGATCTACTTTGTGAGTACGGATCTAACTTATTTAGAAGAAGATTCTCTGAGCTGGAATTCTCCATGTGTTGTTGCTGAATTAAAAAAAAAAATGAGAGTCTGGTATTAAAACATTATTGACATTTTATGTTATATTAATGCTGTCGTTAAATAATCAAAATTCAAAGTTAAAAAAGAATGGATATGTATTCTTCCGTATCTGGGTCTATACCTCTTCAAATTACTTACGCAAACATAGAAATGAAGGACAAAGTATGATCGATCAAAGAAAACAATGAAAGAAAATGTTACATATCGACATAAACGTTTTAAAAATTTACATTGACGTAGGAACTGAAACGCAAGAGCATTGTTGATCCCGAAAGATATACATTAAGCAGTATGCTTGGCTAAATATTGTCATGCTGTGTGCAATTCATGCTTTGATGATGATTAACTGTGCAGAGAGAAGTGTTGATTGTTTAAATCATACATATAAGTTGATTTCAACTTTTAATAATTCATGAAAAAGAAAGTATATTATTCCATTACTGAATTGTATTCACTTACATTTAATAAAATTTATTCATTAACAATGAACTGATAAAGACGTTTTGAATAGAGGTGATTGATAAACAACACAGACATTCCCATGGCATGCTTCTCTGAGCTCACAATCATGATGACATTGTAAATACATATTTACAAAATAATACAACCATCAATTACATAACTTACAATTACCCAAATTATCGAATATTTTTCTTCTTTAAGTAATCGAAGTCCTAGAATTTAAAGACAAATTTGAAATAAACCAGATATTAAAGTAAATCCTATGGTGCTCATACATCATACATTTGTTCTGTACATTTTTTCCTCTGCTTTACGTAAAGCAAACGTTTTTTGAAAAAAAAAAAAAAAAACATTAATTTTTTTGAAAGCATTGCCTACCGGGACACTAATTTATTATTTGACCTATAATTTCCATCTATTTAGATCATCAATATTCCTCTCAAGTGCTGCACAAAAATATATAAGGAAAAGAAATTCTGTTTGATCTCCGTTTCATTAAAGTTTAAAAGGACTGGTTTGCTTTAGCAGACATTTAATTGGTATGTAAAACTCAAATCAATTTTTCTTCTCAAAAACTTCAAGAATCATTATTATTGCAACTCCTTCTATACCACTCAATAAAATTTAATGAGACTTTCAAAGAACCTTTATTACATAGTGTCATTGTGCATCTCCTATTTTACGCTTCAACCAGACAGATATTTAAGGTTTCCCATGACAAAACGTGGACACTGCTATTCTTTCCATAACATTTACGTAAGTTTATTGCATTTGGTGGTACTACCCATCTCTAATCCACAACTCCTAGTATATCACGCAATAAAAATTAATGATACTTTCACAGAATCTTGATTATATAGTGCCTTTGAAAATCATTTATTTTCTGTTTCAACCGGTCACATATATATGGTGTTTCCCATAGCAAAACATGGACACTGTCAATCTTTCTATAACATTGAGGATACTCATCTCTTACAGCTCCTCCTATCCCAATAAATAAAATTGAATGAAACAATCACAACATCTATATGACATAGTGCCATTGTGCACCTTCTATTTTACGTTTCAATCGGGCAGAAATTTACGGTTTCCCATAGCAAAACATATCCGTCCGTATGTCCGTAACTTCTCTTATACAACCGAATAAAATTTGATTAAGACATTCATAAAATCTGTATAACAAAGTGCATCTCCTATTGTGCATCTCCTAATTTACTTTTCAACTAGATAGATATTTAGGGCTTCCCATAGTAAAACATGGACACTGCCGTCCTATTTATAATAGGGGGCCAAATGACAGCGGGGGTATTATTTTGTAAGATCAGTGCTCACAGTACATCTAGTTTTATTAAAACATTACGTAACAATGATGAGCTATTATAGAGATATTAGAAGAGAGAAGGACTCAAAAAGGCTTTTTTGCTTGTTGTCCAATGCCTTTCCTCTTGGAAATAAATGTTAAAATTTAATCAGCCATGAGAACTGGTTTGGAGAAATGCACAAAAAATTATGACTCTATAAGTAGGTTGTGCAAAAGTGATAATCTGCCGAACCATCGAACAGAATATGTGACAAAAATACGCTAGTGAAAGCAACCCCTATATGTCGGACATGCAGGCGACAAGACTTATTTTAAGGCGCAGTTAAAGCGTGATCCTGTTAGGACTGAATATGCATGCTAAGTAGCTAGTGCGTAGTTCACCAGTCCTTTACCGTTAGCAATTTGCCCTAAAATTCACAGAACAACTTGTAATACTGGTTTTCTTTCCTCTAAAGAATACTTAGATAGAAAAAAATATGTTGCTCCTTTTACACAATGTTAAATATACAGTGCTTCAATAAACTTGATCTGCACAATCTTAATTACTGTTGAGCAAAGTATAAACAATACTTTCTAACAGAAACACTGTTTTCAATTTTGTCGACTTCGCAATGAGAAGCTATGAAACTCTAATAGAAGTTTGAAGAAAATACCACAAGGCGTTCACTGTAAAATTTTGACTGTTCACTCTATCAAACTAACCCCTTCTTTACCTTGAAATTCTACTATTTATCTCTTTACTTTTCTTTCGAAATCCAAATTAATTTAATTTGTAGGTCCAAATTTCCTCACGGCACATAGAATAGGACTGGAACTGTAACTCTTATTCAGCCAACATTTCTCTGAAGATTTTTTAAATTAATGGAGGTGTGTGTATGTATTTAATTAGAAAGATTCTAATTGATAACGGTTACAATTATAGTTTTCTCCAACTATAGCTCACCAACCTCTCCATTGTTGACTTCGCCAAGAGTAGTGCGTACCAGTCGCAGAATGTTTGGAGCATCAAACTTAGCGTTCATACCAATACTTTGCATGTATTCTGTAAAAGTAATTAAAGCATTTCCAAAACAATATTATTCTATCCTCCTGTTGTCAAAATTGCTGCTTTTCGTTGTTCTAAATACTAAGAAATGTTATAAATGAAAATAAATGAATGTGCTTTAGTGCTTCAAAGCTTGCAAAAATACATATGATGTGCACTTACCTCACTAATAGAGAAAATGTTTTATTGTTGTTCAAGAACACTCATTAAAAGTGCCGAGTTTGATAAGTAAACGCTTAAAAAATCTAACTTTAGTGCAATTTTCTTTGAATGTGCAGATGTTGTGTTTAAATACCATATTTCTAAAACTAGTGATGAATACTAGGTTTGTTAATTTATCTATGAAAAGATGCTTACTTTTCTTTGCATCAGCATTTTTAGACAAGGATCTGTCAGTTTTGTATGCAATACCAATGATGTCCTTTAAAGACTTCGTCAGCATATCAATAATGCCAAACATGTCTCCTTGTGCGGCAGAATCATTTCTGACCTCAGTAATACTTTTGTTAAGAATGGCTGCAAACATGGTAATAAGCGTGAAAAGGACACAGAAAACGTATGTAAAGTAGTAGAATTGTGCAAGTTGTGGGGCTGCATTGATCATGGTATCCAAACTGTTCTTGCCAATTAAAGCGTTGGTAAGAGTTCCCCAAGAAGTAAAAATGCTCCTATATTCGTAAAGGGAACGTCCGAAAATAAGATACCCGAAAATGACATATCCACCAAACACCATTCCAAAAACAACGCCGAAACCAATGATTTCTTTAGCCGCATTAGTAACTACGGTTATTATTTCCGTCAGTTTCTGGTTATAGCCAAGGATCCTTAATATTCTCAATGTTGCAATAAACACGAGTATGGACATTAAGATGTTAAAGAGCATATCCCACACTACAATATGAAAGAAATTGATGAAATTATTTTCTCCTGTAAGTTTGTCATCGTAAAAGACATCCATGGCCTGGTTGGTGTAGGATAGTCTAAGAATGAAGATAGTGATAGCACTGTATCCCAAAACTAAGCATACAGTATCCACTACATTCCAGACCACTTTATAGTATTTACAGAGTCCATCTCTTCGAATCCCTTTTAGTGTATTGAAAGTGAGAATGAGCTGATACAAAACGTAAACACAATAGCAAATGATAGCAAATGTTCCCATAGCATTCAGAGAAACAATAGGTCTGAATGGATTTGTCTCAGTCCAAATAAAGGAACCCCCCATTTCTGTTATTTCTGTTATATAGGTAACATAAGTAAACAGATTAGCATTGGGGTTGTAAAGAGTAAATTCCACTAAAATAGCACGTGTCCCTCTGTCAATCCAGTTGTACTCTTGGAGTTCTTTCAAAAGTTGTTGGGCTTGAAGTCTACTTGATGGTAGTTTAAGGATATATCCACCACCTCCGTAGGTATTGTATTCGCCTGTTAATGGAAGACCCCAGATGTCAATAGATTCTGTAAATCTCCATGCAGCAGACGTTTGAAATCTGGCTTTGTATTCGGTAGTGTCACAAGCAGTAGCGTTAAATGGGTTCCAACCAAGACAGTACTCGCTTTCGTCCTCTTGATACATATTGTAGTAACCCACACAATAGCGCGGCCATGTTAATTTATGGTAATCGCATTCCCCTAAAAATAAATATGCATACTTCATTGTTTTTTCACGTTGTTTTCTAAAGTAAAAAATAGCAATAAACAATCTGCTTTTACACAACAAAAATTAAATTTACCATACAATATTTATCGAACTTCATATTTAGAGTACATAAAAATATAATAAAAATTATAATCAAAAAATGAAGTATGAATTGGTTAATTTCGTTTTTTTACAACTAAAAGTACTAGAATCTATGAGATACCTTTGCTCATACGGACTTGTCTGAGGCGTCCCGGCCCAACTCGGATATTTGCCAGATCTCCAAAATACTTTTTATCTTGGACTCCCAGACTGGCACCGGAATAATAATTCTCAGGGTAAAAAGTGGGAATGAATGTCTGACTCAACCATGAGAAGAGGTCTGCAGTTTTGTTGATCTGTTAATATTTGATGTTATATAAGTGAAACATAAAGTACAATCCACACTTTGCAAAGGTTGTGTCCCTTTGCGGGTCAACAATAAGGTCAAAAGGGAAAGAAACGACATTTCTTCCCTTTATGCTACAGACATTTAGTGTCTTCCAATAAAACCACTGTATTTAATTTTTTTTTTCAATATGTGGGTAGACCTATCTTGGGTCAATCCATATACAAGATGCAAAGTATTTTTTAATCGACAAATTTACAGATGGCGGCCAAGGGACATAACTTTTGAAAAGTGTGGATTCTACTATTTCACATTCTTTACTTCAAAGTGCACACAAATATATCATTTACAATATATCTACCTAAGTTCTAGTAATTAATAGGCTACTTAAAAAGATTGCTTAGAAAGAAGTCGATAGAATAAGAAGCATTATGTACCCCTGAGAAGCCCAGCTGTCCGTTGCCATGCCCAACCAAGTAATTATCTACGTTGGACTTCATGAAAAAGGCTCTATGGTCTCGCTCAACGTAGCTGATACTGTAAATAACGAACATGAAGATGGCATAAAATATGAGATTCATCAGCGCCTCCTGTGCTTTCAGTTCTTGTTTTCTTTTCTGTCTGAGCTTTTCAAGGTCTGACTGAGGGGGCGGTTCTGATTTGTTAAATATCCCATTTACGAAAGCTGCAAAATTAATGTCATCTATTGTAAATATTGGGTAACAACAACAATAGTCAAAATATATATAATAAGGAAAGGATACACTAATTTAAAGAACTTGTATCCAATCTTTTTGTATATATTATATATGTATGTTAAAAACAAAGAGTGATAAAGTATTATTCTGACTTTGATATGATATATACAGGTACATCTATATAGAATGATATGCTTAATTTCATTACCCATATAACTTCGCTCTGATCCAGAATTGTACTGAGATGCTGTCGCTTTCAGCTTATTTAAATCCATTTTTGGGGTTTCACCGTCTGCGGGTTGTTTAAAGAGCATTGCAAGTAAAACTGCTATTATTATTACCTGAAATATAAAAGTCAATTTGATTTTTCTGCATATTGATTGAACTGCAAATTTCATGATCTTAATTTTTTAGATGTCCAACATTTTTTTTTTTTTTTTTGCATAATCCTTATGAATCATTCTTGAAAGATTAAACCATAACAGTACCTTTAGAGGATCAACACAAATCAAGGATTCAAAGAATGAAAGGAAAAAAGAAGAGAGCCATTCTTCAGCCTTTGCTTTGCCCCATTCCATACTATACAGAATAAGGAAAAATGCCGAGGTTATCACAGCTAGCCAAACGACTACCCAGGCAACATAAGCCATCCAGTGTGGTAACGGAAGATGATCTTTGGTGAAGAAATCTTCGCCATTAAAAGCCCTCTTTCTCAATTCCTTGTCCATGTTTTGTTTGACTTTTATGTCAAGCTCTTGGGCCTTTTTCTTGTTTTTGTGTTTTATTTCAACCTTCGGTTTACATTTTTTGAATACCATTGTAACAAACATGATGGGAGGCGTAGTTAAAACAATGCCAATTATAGATACATAAACCGTTGACATGGAAAATCGTAGAAAACCAATCTGGACTTCATTACTATTTTGTTCCTCTGAGGATGATTTAAAGAACATAGCGTTTGCAATCATTGTTAAGAATAATAGAGCAAGCACGCATGACAGCCGCTGAACCCTTGTGAATGGACTTCTTTCTGGACGGATCATTAAGGAAAGCCAGAGGTGATTTTCTGTTAAATTGAACTGAGCATGCTGGGCAAATAGAGTATTGAATGCCACTAGATTATCCCTTCCACAAACCGGGACGACTCTGTCCACCTGACCATCGTCTTGATCCAATGCCAGCCATCGATCGCAAAGGAAGACGTATCTATTTAGAAAAGTTATTTAAGATATTATGTTACATAATTAAAGAAAACGTTTTGAAATTAATTATGAATGGAAAACTATCATTAATACCTGGTATTTGTTTGAGGGTCGTCCACTACAATTTTGTTGAGGTACCAATTCTGATAATCCCCAGAACCAGAGTTATCATGCCATATACGTATGTAAGTTAATCCACCAAGTTTCTCCTTTGTACCCATAATGAACTTCTTAACACTTCCGGTGTCAAATCCCTGAAACATGTTTTGGAGGTTTAACCCAATATTATATTTAAAGAAGGAATTGGAAACCTGCCTAAATATGATAAAAAAGAACGAAACATGGTTAAAATTAAGTTTCTTTGTATTTTATAAACACTAAAATCACAAAATTGTATTCAAGAACTTATAAATGATGTTTCTCTAATTACGTGATGTGTTTGACAAATTGAATATTTCCTCAATATTACAACTTTTCCTGCGAAAGAACCCTTAGTGTGATAAATCCTGAACACAGGACAAGGATTCACACAAACTGTTCTGCAGGTGATTATTTGCATTTTAGTTCAATATTTTGCCGTTTTCAGAATTATTCATTGAAAAAGAAGTTTAAGGGTTTTATCAGTATATTTTCTAATAATATTTGAGCTATTTAGACCTCCCCCTGCTTCAAATCCTAAACGCTTGTAAAAACTTCCACCATTACCAACAATTGCATGCTTTTCTATTAATTAGACAAGTGCAATGATGTAATATATTAGATTCACGGTGTATTTTATATAATTTGGTGGAACTTTTGATGAATTAAGTGGCCGGTGTGTTCTTGACATAAATCATTAATTTATTCATTTTAATATTGGGAAAAGTGTCGGCTGATATCATAAGAATTTCCTCGAGCAGAAGATACATTATGTTGGCAAGGTTAAAATTATGAAGGTCATCAATATCTGAAAATTGACGACTAACAAAATTCTATCAGAAAATCATTAAGAAAAGGCTAATGTTTTGTTGAAACTTTTTTGTGATAAACTGTATGGTATAAACTCTACTTGAATAAAAAAAAAAGAGGAAGCAAAAAACGTTTGAAAGACGGACCTCTTTTACACCGTCGCTGAGGATTCTTACTCCGGAGTCGTCTTCGTCACCCGCCAGGACAAAATTGACCACGGACTTTGTTCCTGCCCCTCGTCTGAGACCAGTGTGGACGGTTATCATGTAGAAATACTCATCAGTAGAGTCACTGTCCACCAAAAAATGGATGGCCCACTTTCAAACGAAGGAAAATCATAACAAACGGTATTATACAATTAATTACCCCTTATGCGGTCAACATGGTAAAATAAGGACCCGAGACCTGGCCCACGAGGTGACCTGACCTGACCGAGGCCGCGTAGCGGCCGAGGTCAGGTCAGGTCAGCGAGTGGGCCAGGTCGAGGGTCCTTATTTTACCATGTTGAACTCATAAGGGGTAATCAATTGTTTTATTATACCGATATAAGTTAAGGCAATTTTTGTAAGCTTAATTACTAAAATAATCAATTACATGTATAAGACCTACGAACTGTTATCAGTGTTTCATCGGGATCGGGATTCGCTAGTGAAGTTGTTTACTTTTCGGCTGCTAGTCTTGTAAGTTTTTGCACCGCCGATTTATTAAAACACTCTGTGATTGTCAATAACATTGCATTTTTATAAATTCACAGATACCATTCCCGACTACAATGACAATCTGGTGCAGACTTTTACTGTACAAGAGAGCCGAGTCTGCGTTCGTTGAATTGTAACGAAAGTTAATTTCAATGAAAACGATAAATGTTATGACGCATCTAAAGGCCAATCGTGTTCCGTATCCTAAAAATACTATACATATTTTTATAACGGCAATTTTTGTAATGTACAATCATTACTGTATGCATATTTTTTTTAATTTGAATGGAATTTGGATTAACAGGTCATTTTTAGCGGTCATTAATTTTATTGACCGGTCATTATACCCCACGTGCAATGATTCCTAGGTCATTATTGCTGTAAACGGTACTTTTTGGAGTCATTATTGAGTTTAAAAGCCTTCTAACAAGCCAATCAAATTTGAGTATTCTTAATAGAGGTATAATAAATACATTTAATAGTGTTATCACTTAAAATAACTTGTGAATAATATTATTTTTTATATTGCATGATCTCACGTAGAATGAAATTATACCTGGTCAATATACTGTAAACAGGGAAATTTTCGCCCGCTACTCACAGGTAGGTGAATTTAAAACGGGGCAAATTCAAAGAATACAGTATAATTTAATAATGACTATGCAAACTTAATACGGGACAAAATTTTTTGCAAATGTAAAAGGGCGAAAATAACACGGGGTTAATTTATTTCCTTTTATAGTCTTATTTTTCGACATAAAAATACTTCATGATTAGCTAATCAAAAAATGATTATTTTATGTTTGATTTATCATAATGCTTTTTGAACATATGCATGCATAGAATCTATGATAAAACAATAAAAGAAAAATCTAACTTATAATCAATATTTTCATACTGATGCGATTTACTGCCAATAATGACATTTATCTTTTGAAATACTAGTATGTCATTCCAAAAGAATGGTTCCTAAAAATGCTACTCATCTTATGAAACCATTTCCATATTCAATTCCATTTATCTATTTATATAATCAATTAAACAATATACTCGGTTCAACTTTATGCCATAAATAATTGAAATCAAAAGCCCATATATGTGCATAGTAAAGGCATTATTTCTATATTTTGAATTATGAGGAAATTGGTTCAATAATATGTATACCCTTTCAATATCTTTTTTGTCCTCTCTTCGTAAAAAGATCGCTGATATGACGTAAATAACCAAAAGAGCAATCACTGTTCCATAAACAGCTGCATTTGAAGGATCAAATTTACCCCACACAGTGTTGAAATCAATCATGTTGGGTGGTACGTAGAAAGTGGATGCGAAAATGCTCCCTGTTGAGGGATTGGGGCATCTGCATATTGTTTCGTTAATAGTACTCATTGGTAAAACCTGCATAAATAATAATGCAACTTTAGCTTCATCTAACAGAACAAACCCTAAAAATGGAAACGAAAATTTTAAATTCATGAAAGAATCTTATAATACAGGATGCATCATTTTTTTTTTATATTTTTCTTTTCAGATAGCCTAAACTTGGTATATATATTTAAAAATATGGGAAAGTTAAAATACCGTGCATCCATTAGAAACCCAAGATTTTGCTCGGACGTCCCAAGATCTGCAACCAGTGGTGACGATAATAACACTGAAATTGGCGACAACATCTTCCAGAGTGGAGTTCATCGGGCTCGGGGTTGTAACCGGTGCCTGACGCTTTCGCCTGTTCCTAACAGCAAAAGAGCTGTAGTCGCTCACTAATTGTAAAATAAATCTAATTATTATATCCATGTTTCCATACAATTAAGCTCTTATGCGATAATTCAATTCATTTATCAATTAATTCAAAGTTCCTTCACTCTCAATTATGATCAGATTAGAGTTTGTGCGTTTTTTGTTTCAATAACACTTCATCAAAACTTTACATATGCAGTCACATAAAAAGATTATTTTCAGATTTTTAGATGCAACAAAACTTAAACTTCTTTGATTAGGGGGTGTTGCACAGTTTTAGGTAAATAAAAACATAACATATGGAATGAACCAGAGATCTTTTAATTTCTTATTTCTTTTAGATTGATTGAGGCCCCAAAAGCTTAGCTTTGGAAGGGCTGTTTTAATATTAGGAGGGGAGAATAGTTTATCAATACCCAAAGCAAGAAAAAAAATATATACTAATGCCTTTCAAACAAAACCTGAAAGTTGACGCAAGATGGGGCTTTTCATACATCTTTGGGAAATTTTCATCTCAACATATAAAATTTTGGTATAACACCCGATCCGGACCCCCCCCCCCCCTCCCCCCTTTCGGCTCAACGGCGTGCTTATATAAAAGATATTTTTTCTAAAAATTAAAAAGCAAAATCATTTGTTTTGTACTTACTTTCTATTGGTTTGAGGCCAATATAACATGAACCTTTGTGACATAAACCTTGTCGAATAAAAGTTTTGAATCCATAATCTGTCCAATCATTGATAGTTAACGTCTTAGAAAAGTCGTGTGAGGAGGATCTTGGATACGTCACGTCCCCCAGATACAATGTGTAGAGTGAATGGGTACTCTGAACACCAGGGTCCATACCGTGTGGTCTGATATAAGCTACTGCAGCATCCCCCTCATTTTTCATTGTGAATGTGATATAAATGATTTTTTCCGGGTCATTGGGATCCATTTTTGGAATATAATCCTGATACTGTATACTTCCTGTATTTTTGAATTTTACATCTGGTCTGATATCACCACTGACAACGACTGATGTCACTTTTGATGTCACAGCAGATGCTTCAGAATGTTGTCCAAAAATATAGGGGTTCTTGTCATGGACTACGACCTGATTTTAAGGGGAAAAAGTGTCAAAGGTAATGAAGTTTCCAATTCAGTGAGTACATTCTCTAAGCTACCACATATCCAGACATTTATTCTGTTTTGATGATTTTGTTCAATCTGTAACATCGTTCAATATGTACAAATGTTTTGCCCTAACATACTAATGAGAAACTTTGATGATGCTCCATGTTATTAAAAAGACTATAAATTCTGAATTCAGTTTTCAAATATATCTGATAGCAACATCTATAGTTCTTCAAATAATCTCAAACAAAAATAAACATATAGAATGTTTCAGTTAGAAGAATCTTTTCTACATGCTAAGATACTGTATCACCTTTTTAATGAAATAATTCAGCCTCCTATCTATTAATGTATTTTAAAGTACCTGAATATCAAGTATTGTCTGATTGTCTTTGTTTGTCCCATTTCCATCAGCTCCAAAATCCAACTGTATTCCTTTTAAATACTGTTCCGTTCTGTTCATGATACTTTCAATAGTAACCTTCTCAGTGCTGACATCTAGACCACCTTGGGACAAAAGAGAGACACCTTCCCCAACTTCTTGCTGCAGTAATTGAATCTTTTTCATATCTTCCAGCGCATTTTCGATTTTAGCTATATTATTCTCTGCCTGTAATGTAAATTTCATTAGTACATTTTGAAAAGATATAACAACGAATTGATAAACATTTTAATCAAGAGACAAACATACTGGTAAAGGAAAGTAAAGTATGAAAAAGATCAGTTCAGAAAAAAAAACTCAAACGTACAAATGCTGCCTGTTGTTGTTGTTTTTCCTGTTCCTTAGTTCTGATTTGGTACAATAGTTCAGCCTTTGCTCGTATTTCTTCAGTTGTCAAAGGGGTCTGTGTCGTTCCTAAAAGGTCTGCATGACTTTGTGTTCGCTCTTGTTCCGTGGTCAATTCAGCAATGATGGATTCTACAGTGATCACTGACGTCAAATCTACCACAGTGGTGGGCAGCATAGAGGTCAAAATGTTATTCAAAACCTTAATAGTACCTGAAAATAGGCGATTCTAGATATGAACATTGTTTAAGTAAAACTTGAATTAACTTTTTATTGGCAAGTATGTTTCCAAACGGGTCCAGAGTGTATATATATCTTATTTTTTTAAAATGCTTTTCTTTCATGGGGAAAAAGGACACATTGTTACAATGTTTTACTCAAAGCTGAAATGGATAAAATAGGGAGAAAGATCTAGGACATTACAATATACTCACTGGATACAGCACTCTGCATACTTTCAAGACTTTCTACAGGGAATGGCTTGGTCATGGATGTATTCAACACACTATCCATCATTACCTTTGTTACTGAAGTTGAAGCAGCCTGTACAAATGTAAAATGTGAAGATAAGGAACAGTGATCAATCTTAAATCCAGTAAACAAAACGAATCGTGAAGAGGGCAAAAACACGGACCTCTGGAAACACCAGAGGTGGGATCAACATTGGTATGCATAAAAATTTTAAGAATTTCCTTAAGTATATACTTTAGTTTCTTAAGCATATTCATAGCTAAGTAAGATGCTTATATGTAGGTTTCGTTGCAGAAAACTTCTAAGCAACATGCTTATCTGCATCTTAAGTACACTGTTGCCATATCAATAAAGTCACTTGCACTACATAATGCACTACTGAAAACAGGTCAGATCAGGTGCCTAGGAGTAAGCATCCCCTTAGTGACCGGTCACACCCGCCGTGAGCCCTATATATTGATAAGATATACGGAGTAATCCTAGTCAAATTTAGTAAAAAAGCAATAACCTAACAAATGGTATCAATGACCTAACAAATGGTATCAATAACCTAACAAATGTTATCAATAACCTAACAAATGGTATCAATGACCTAACAAATGGTATCAATGACCTAACAAATGTTATCAATAACCTAACAAATGGTATCAATGACCTAACAAATGGTATCAATAACCTAACAAATGGTATCAATAACTTAACAAATGGTATCAATAACCTAACAAATGGTATCAATAACCTAACAAATGGTATCAATAACTTAACAAATGGTATCAATGACCTAACAAATGGTATCAATAACCTAACAAATGGTATCAATAACCTAACAAATGGTATCAATGACCTAACAAATGGTATCAATAACTTAACAAATGGTATCAATGACCTAACAAATGGTATCAATAACCTAACAAATGGTATCAATAACACAAATGGTATCAATGACCTAACAAATGGTATCAATGACCTAACAAATGGTATCAATAACCTAACAAATGGTATCAATAACCTAACAAAATGTATCACTAACCTAACAAATGGTATCAATGACCTAACAAATGGTATCAATAACCTAACAAATGGTATTAATAACCTAACAAATGGTATCAATAACCTAACAAATGGTATCAATGACCTAACAAATGGTATCAATAACATAACAAATGGTACCAAACATGTCAGATAATATATGACCCAAAGCTAGGTTGTAATTACAAGGAATGTCATTATAATGACCGTGCATTTTGCGAAAAGCTGACTAGATTGACTGATTGAAAACAAGATTGTTGAAATCTTTGTATCAACTTATTTGTCATTAGTCTGCCTCGGTTTAAAAATTGATGTACTCAGAACATGCTCTTGTGTATCGAATCATTTGGGAGACATAATCACCATATGCAGGTGAAGTTGGAATATAAATACACAAATAAAGGAAGTTGACGATGGAAAAGCTGAAGTAACTCCATTTGTTATAGGTCGTTATTAGTTTTCATCTTAATCCAACACAGATTGTTGGAAGACCTGGTATGCAAAGACTACATAGATATTGTCAATGAGGAACTCCAGCATCTTTTTAATTTCAACTTCAGAAAACTTGTATGTAGAATTAGAGTGATTTTCAACAAAGTTACTTTGTTGACGACCAATCACAAGATACAAAAATTTCCGAGTCCCATTTTTATCGAATCGATAAGTTTATATAATTCAAATTCATTAAATAAGTATTCCTTAGCAAAAAAAAATTATGATATCCAACTTAGGTGATTAAAACTTATCTTATCACGATCATCCAATACTAGTAATACAAAGTGATTTTGTAGATGGACGATCACAAGATATGAATTTTTAAAGAAATTTAAGTGTTTCTTAAACGAAGACAATAAGACCTATCTAAGACAACGTACATCTTGAAACTCTCTTTTATGATTAGAACTTTATGACTTATAAATGTATAATAAATTTGAATGAAATAGTTTAAGATAACGAACAGCGATAGATCTAAAAAAAAAAAGAAAAACTACAAATAATACAAAACTGTGAACAGGGCATAAAATAAGGATCCTTGGAAATTCCAGAGGTGGAGTCAGCTGCCTAAATGGAGTAAGCATCCCCAGTCGAGCGGTCAAACCCGCCGTGGGTAGACGCAATAATCCATAGTCAAATTCAGAATAAAACAAAGGCCTAATGATTTGTATGAAATATGTCAGTAAAAATACGACCTAATGATAGGTTGTATTTGCTAACATGGTCATTATAACGACCATAGAATTTACAAAATGCTAACTTTATATTAGATTGATGTTGAAATCCCTGTGACATAAACTTATTTTTCAGTAGCCTGCCTATTCAGAGCATGCTCTTGAGTATCAAGAGATTTTTAAAAATTGAACAAAAATATATTTCTTCTTTGTATGTTCTTTTAAACTCACCGCTGACTCAGCAGTAATATAGGCTGGACTTCGTGTGATACTTTCCAAAGCTGACGAAATTTGCTGTACGTCCGTTGCACTGAATTGTTTTGGAGTGTCAGAGTCAGCATCGACTGTTTTCAAAAGAATGTTGGTCATTTCAGCAGTTTTCTGTAAAAAAAAAGAACAAATAAATAAATAACAAACAACGTTGTCTTTGCTAGGGATATTTATTATATACAATAGAGAAAAATGCGATCGGTCATTTTGAGTTTAATTATTTATCAAATTGACTTAAATGTTGTAATTCATTGTGTGCAAAAGAAAATAAGATAATGTACTCATAAGGTACATGTATTTGAGGTGTTCAGACAGTTTGATACAAAAAAAATTCTTCACTTTGGTTAAGACGCCAATACCTTTTGATACAGAAGCGTGACTTCACTGGTTGTGGAGGTTGTCAATGATGAAGCACTACCTGATAAAATATCCTCCTCTGTTGTTCCCTGTGAGTCGCCCTAAAATATCGTAATTTGTTACTTACATCATGAAAAAATGAGAGAATGTGTTTTTATATACCATGGGGAAATTGTTTTCCTGTATTTATAAAGAGCTGTTTCCAGTTGTTTTTGAAGTTCATTTTTATGCATTTTTCAAATTAAAATTTTAAATTGTAGTATTGTCTCCTAAAGTTTTGTACACAATTTTAAACTAAATATCAAGTTACTGTATATTGCAGTCAAACAATAACATTGCTAATACCTATGAAAGCATTTTCCCTTTTACAGAATGACCTTATATTTATTTCATTTTTATTTTTGGTTTTACAATGCAAGAAAGTATTAAAACTATTGATTTTACTGATTATAATACAATATTGATTTGAAAGGAAAATTGTGAATATGATATTCTGAGTCAGTATGATATTTGAGGGAAATGAAGACATATAACTGTGTGATCCGTACCTCTGAGAAGTCCACAATGTAGGAGGAGACAGAACTGACCAATCTCACGACCCCCATATCATTACCACCCGCATTTGTAATGTTGAAGGCCTCCTCAAATGACTCAAATAGCGAGTTGATTGCCGTGGTGTCAGAACTGGAGTTAGGTGTGACGTTCTCCATTGGTTTTACCTATACAATAAAACAAATACGTGAGTATCTTACCTCTGTTTTTTAATCTTCAAGTCAGAAGTAAATCTGCAGTAGTAGATGCATGAAATCAATTTTCGACTTTTTCCTTTAACCGACATTTTGAAGTTATGAATATACCTTGATATTTCTTTCGAAAATGGCCTTATCTCCGATCCGATCATAAATGTGTACTCTGACGGTGACGTTATAATCAAATGCTGGGTCTCCAAGCTGTAGAGGGACGTCAGTAACAGTGCTCTCTCCTATAGGATGTAAAATGATTTGTAATTTTTTAAAACATATAATTCCGCGTGGTTAAAGTTTAAGCTGTATAGTCCAAAATGTTTTTTTTTTTGTTTTATTTTATTTTTATTTTATTTTATTGTTTTATTTTTTACCCAAGGATAGTATCGTATCGGTGAAATATATGGAGACAACGAACAGTACTCAAGCTCAAAAATTCATTTAAACAATACAAATCAGGAGCAAAACAAATATGGACCTCTAAAATATCAATATAATAAAGGTGGTCTGTTTATCTCATGTTCAAATGACGAAAAAATCCTTTCTATCTTCTATGTTGTACATTTCACTGTGCTTTTTTTATTTTACGATCATAGAATTTCTCATAATAATTAAAAAAAATAGAATTAATGCATTAGTATCTAGTAACTGAATTTAAACTGTTGTTACTAGTATTAATTACCAGGACTTATATAATGATTGCGAAAAATCCTTCGATCGCGAACATATGGAAATTAAAACCACCGTTATATGTATTCCAATTTTACAGTATTTTATTTAATTTGCATATATTCGAGAATCGAAAGTATGGATTCTGTTGCATTACCTCCTCGGAACACCTCAGTTTTAACGTCCTGGATCCCAGTTGACAAGTTTCGTTTGGTTATAGTTTCATATAGGTACGTCAGCGGTTCGCCATTTTTCTTGTCTCTTGTTAGGTTTCGTTCCATGTTCGTTCCTTCGTCTACCCAACCAGAACATTCAATGCTGAACTTGTCTTTCAAAGCTAGGCCTAAATAATTTTCAGAAAAAAATATTTTTACGACGTATTTTATATTATAACTTCCCCCAAGATTTCGGTTGCCGATCGTGTAATTAAAAAATGACCACGTAAAGTTGTCTGTAACTAGAGGTTTAAAGCAAGAAACACACTCCATACCTGTATGTCAAATCTTATGAGATTTATCTTCAAATATAAATAGAAAGTTTTTGAGTATTCATAGCACCAAAATATTAAAGAGCTTGCTAGTATTTGATCGAATAAAATTATGAAAAAAGAAATGAATATGTACAATGTCCGTATGATTTGTTTGGCAGAAGAATTTCAACAATTAATGGGCACGATCTCAGTTAAAGACATTCAACATAAAGAATAAGCGTATTTTAGATTAAACAATGAGAGATCATCGATCATCTGGAATTTCAATTAAATAATGAAATGGATACCTCAAAATCGAAGAAATATTGTATTTCAATAGAAAAATTCTGTTAGAATGATAATAATCAATAGCCTTTCGTTTCGACAAGATATGAAAGTAATCTATGAATTATAGAAACAGAAATTTAATGGACTGATCCATAATCTCCATCACACATCGAAAATGTTTTATTGAGACTTTGCTAGCGAATCACGACGTAATTTTACCAATAAATGCAAAGTAATTCTTCAATCACGTATCCTTACTTTTCATTTATTAAGTGTCTCTCAGTCACCTTTATAAGGTCTTTCCTTAAAGTACGTGAAATTATTGTGACAAATACACGTACATGTACTAAATAATCTCCTTCATATTTCTTCTGAAAACAAGGGTCTTTTGTCAATATTTAGCAAGATTCCTTGAGCAGTGGTTCTCTCATCAATGAAACATACAATACATATATTATATACATATAAATGTACTTATCAATAATAAATATTTAAAGTACTTAATCCTACTTTATATGATTATCTGAACAGACATATATATAAACAATAAAATGTCTTTTTTGTTTAGTACGGGAATTAATATTGCATCTATTGCAAAAACATTAACACAACCCGCTTACGAGTATTAGGTATTTTTTCTGTAACAGCTGCAACATCAATTCTCACTATATTGTGGCCCCGCCCTACCCCCAGCCGCACCCTCGGGTGTCATGATTTGAACAAACATGAACCTGAAGACACCTTTATAAATTTATAATTAAACATGGTTTTGCTGCTCTGAGGAAGAAGACTAAAAGATTTCTCCTATATATTCTTTTGTAAAACTCTTTTGTAGAGTTGACAATCTGGCCCAATATTACCCCTAGGGGGTCAAAAAAGAATCTACACTATCTGAAGATGCTTCAGTAAAAATATATCAAATGACTGCTACTCTGTTCTTTATAATAAGAATTTTAAAAAATTTTCCCGTGTATTACTATGAAAAACTTTGATCACCCATAGTGGCCCAACCCTTCCCCGGTCATGATTTGGACAAACTTGAATCTATCCTCGTTGAGGATGCTTCCGTCTAAATATATAAGATTTTTTCTATGTATTCATATGTAAAATTTTGATTGCCCATAGTGACCCTACCCTTGTCATGGGGTCATGATTTGAACAAACCTGAATCTACACTACCGGAGGATGCTTTAAAATGAATTTGACTAATCATGATCTTGCTGTTCTTGAGAAGAAGAATTTTAAAGATCTTCCAAAGTATTCCTTTGTAAAACTTTGATCGCCAAAGTGGCCCCACCCTATCCCCAGGGTAAAAAACTTTTTGAACTTGAATCTACACTACTCCAAAAAGCTTTCACATAAGATTCATCTTTCCTGGCCCAGTAGTTCTTGAGGAGGAGATTTTTAAATTACTTACTTACTACTTAGTCCTCTTCGTGCTTTGAGCACATAAGGTCTGCACCGAGGACCTCCATCTCCGTCTGTCCGCTGACATTTTTTATATTACTCCACCTTATTTTCACTATTTCTTAAATATATCCCCTTTAAAAAAGCGTGGCCCTTCATATTTGAACAACCTTGAATTCCCTTTACCCAGGGATACTTTGTGCCAAGTTTGGTTGAAAGTGACCCACTGGGGAAGGGTGGGGCAACAAAAGGCGATCACATTTTTAACTTACACGTAGCAATATATAGGAATAAAAAACAAGAGGCCCAAGGGCCTTAACGGTCACCTGAGTATGATACAACAATTTAAAGGATGCATAGAGTATAAAATGAACTGAAAGGTGAAGCTTTGTTGCCCAAAAGCAAGAAAAATAGGGTGATCATGATCAACAAATCAATTGGTCTTAATATTCATTAACAGTTCATAAATTAGGTTCTAATCTGTTCCCCATTTATCACTATCACCATACAGTATATTAACAAATGAATGCTTCTGTACTATTTTTATCCCTTGTTGAAATCTCTTACATTGGCCTCTCTTGGTCTTCCATGAACATTTAATAAGACAAGTTATTTTTGTCTCATTTTTATTTATCTACTACTTACAAGTCTATCTGATCATTAAAACTACGAAAGTACTTTTTGTATTACAATAAAAGTTTTTGCATAATTCTCTTATTCTATTTACCTTTCAAGTACATTATTTACAGCGATAAATTATCAAAAGTAAATGGCAAAGGGGAATAACTCCTCTCAGTAGAATACAAACTAATAGAGCCCTGGCCAGGACCAGAACACTTGACCAAATGGTCCAGATGTTCAAAAATCTGGTAAAAATTCCCTTCCTTATAAAAACTTTTACTCTGTTTGCCTCAGATATGCCCAGGTGCGGAGAAGATTTTTAAAGAAATAATGCATTTTTACTACAGATTCACTATATTATCAATAGAGCCCCCCCCCCTCCCCCCCCCCCCCGAAACACCAGAGCTTCACAATTTTGGAAGAGGCATCCTTGCTTATCATAACAATGTACTTAGTTTGTTTAAAATAATACCCAGGTGCAGAGAAAAAGATTTTTAAAGAATTAAAACATTTTCACTTTATAATCAATAGAGCCCCGCCCTAACACCAGAACCCCTGATCCAGGGGCCACGAATTTCACAATTTTGGAAGAGGCATCCTTGCTTATCATAACTATGTATTTAATTTGCTTCAATAATACCCAGGAGTAGAGAAGAAGATTTTCAAAGAATTAATGCATTTTCACTATACAATCAATAGAGCCCCAACCTAACACCAGAACCCCTGACCCAGGGGCCATGAAATTCACAATTTTGGAAGAGGCACTCTTGCTCATCATAACTATGTACTTAGTTACTTTATTTAATATCCAGGAGCAGAGGAGAAGATTTTCAAAGAATTAATGCATTTTCACTATATAATCAATAGAGCCTCGCCCTAACACCAGAACCCCTGACCCTGGGGCCATGAATTTCACAATTTTGAAAGAGGCACTCTTACTCATCATAACTATATACTTAGTTTATTTGATACCCAGGAGCAGAGAAGAATTTTGGTAGAGGGCTCATTGCTTATTACAATCATGCCAACAGTTTGACTGCTTGATGTCCAGGAGTAAAGAAGAAGATTTTTAAAGATTGCATTAATTTTGGTGGTTTTAGCCCCACCCCTCAGGACCTAGGGGGGCAGGGACCATGAAATTCACAATTTTTGTTTCCCTTTACCCATAGATGCTATATGCCAAATTTGGTTGAAATTGGTTGAGCGGTTTCAGAGAAGAAGCTAAAAATGTTCAAATGTTAATGCACATCGCACGACGCCGGACAAAAACGGATAGCAATATGTCACCTGAGTGACTCAGGTGACCTAAAAATTTATATGGAATTATCTTCAGGTAGTGTAGATTTTAATTTATTCAAATCATAATCCCTGGGTATAGTGCGGGTCCATAATGAGCAATCAAAATTATATATAGGAATATAAAGGTCTTTTTTGTCAAGAACATCAAAGCCATTATTAATATTGATGATGATATTTTTAAGGAATCATCCTAGAGTAATATTAGATTCAAATTTCTTCAAATCATGATCTCTGGGTGTAAGGTTGGGCCACTATGGGCTATCAAAGTTTTACAACAGTATGCTCATGAACATTGCAGATTATGTGTTGATTATTCTCAGGAGAAAATCACCTGTAGTCGGGGTCACGGAGCATTCGCCGTCGTAAGGAGGGTAGTTGGTTGCTAGGTCCATGATTGCAGTGCTTGGTCCGGAACGTGAAGCTACGGTTGTTTCAAGTGTAACCATGTATTTTTTACCAGGATCAAGTGTGTTTTCTTTTAGTACCAATGCTTGATTATTTATTCCTGAAAAATTAAGAATGTTGAAATTAAGTTGAATTATTGAGTTTAACTTAGGTTTAGATTATTTTTTTTTTCAAAATTATTTTTAACTTCGATCAATCAAAAATTTAAAAAAACTGTAAAACATGCTTATAGCATAATTTCAGGGACGAGCAATTTTTATTCATTCTAAACGTAATTATTACATCATATTAGTTCATAATACATTTCAAAATACAGAGAATGAAAATCATTTTGCTGTAAGCGTGAATTTATTATAAGCGTTATGTTGTTTACATGTTTTACTGTGCTGTATGCAACACTAATCATTGATTGTTACAAATATAAACATTGAACAGACCGTTTGCTGTCTTAGAGACCAAATCAATAGTAGTCCATTCTGAACCGACAAATTCCATCAAACTCCATTCGTATGATGGCAATTCTGTTTCGGTACAATCTAGACATTTCGCAAGGACATTCATTCTAGAGGTGACAGCTAATTTCTCCTTGCAGTTGATGATACATCTGTGAATTTTACAAGTAAAAGTTGATGGAGAGAGTAAAATTCCTAGCCATATATATGAGGTCAACGTTCAAAGATTTCAACATACATTAGAACCTTCTGTTTTTCATTGAAGTTTTCATAGAGGTTCTGTTTTTTTTAACTTACTCAAGTTTGACATCAGGGGGATCTCCCTCCAGAATGCTCAGCATCTGAGAAAACTCCGACGATTTCTTCCCATCACTGACTGACACAGTGACAATGTATCCAGGGGATGTTGTAATATTAAGTTTCTTCTTCCCAGGGACGGGTCCAGCATCCAGAGTACAACCCTCAATTGCAAATGTTGAACTTGTGAAGTTGTTGTTCACGATTATCTCAATCTCATCTAATACAGAGGTATTTACTCTGTGGGTAAAATGTGTGAATCAAATTGTATTTTTGCATTTTAGCTGCAAGGAAATTTGACAGCTGATCTGTAATGTACGTCTCTTTATATCCATATAGGTGTCATTTAATCTTTTATTCTCAAATTTCCTACAGACCTGGTGGGTGACGATATTTTGAATTTAATACATTCTTTACATTTCCTAGTTTTAAGGTCAGCTGAGTCACTCAGGTGACTTATTGCAATCTGTTTTTGTCCGTCGTCGATCGTCCGTCGGTAAACTTTTGAACATTTTCAGATTCTTCTCATAAACTGCTGAGGTGGATAAAATATACAGGCTGGTTAAAGAATACGTTTAGAATTAGGGAGTGAAAGGTAGTTAATTGACCAATGCTGGAAAGTTGAGAAATACTCCCCAACCGTGCGCAGAAAATCTTGCGTCGTAAATTGCACCATATTTGCATTACGGAATCTGTAGCGTTATGTTCAAAGACTTCATGATATATAAAACCATAACGCTACAGTTCTGCAGCTACCCTGGGGCCAAAACCATTTAAATAATTGCAATTTTCAAAAATCTTCTTCTTTACTGCTGGACATCAAGTAATCAAACTGTTGGCATGATACCAACAAGCGATAAGACCTTTACCTAAATTGTGAGTTAGGGCGGGCTCTATTGATCATTAAGTGAAAATGCATTGATTCTTTTAAATCTTCCTTCTCTACCACTGTATAATTAGCTTACAAACTAAGTAAATGGTTATAATGAGTAAGAATGCCTCTTCCAAAATTGTGAAATGCATGGTCCCTGGGTCATGGGTTCCGGTGTTAGGTAGGGGCTCTATTGATTATGTAGAGAAAAAATACATTACTTCCTTGAAATTTTTTTCTCTGCTCCTGGGTATTAAGCAAATGAAGTAAGTACAAAGTTATGATGAACAAGGATGCCTCTTCCAAACTATTTAATTGATAGAAGTTATTCCCCTTTAATATTCACCTATGATGATTAATCACTATAAATAATGTATCTGATAGGTCAATTGACTAAAGATTATTAAATGTATGCAAGAATGTATAATACAAAAAGTACTTTCATAAGTTTCAATGATCAGGTAGACTTGAAAATGATAGATAAATAAAAATTGGAAAAAGATACCTCATTTTTGTACATTAAATGTTTAAAAACCCAGAGATGCCAATCTAAGAGGGAATGGGTTTACTACAAATGCTTTTAATAAGCAATATTGTTTTCTTTAGTCTGTATGTTGAAAGTAACAACTGGGAGTGTTTTAGCACTGGCAAGTATCTACTTTATGATTTGTTACTGAGTACTAGACTGTTTTGTTGATCTCTGGTCATCCTATTTCTCTTGCTAATGGGTAAAATTATCTCCATTTATCAGTTTCGTTTTATTATATACTATAAAAATTATCTAATCCGATCCCGTGCAATCCGTTTTAATGTGAATTATTCTAACCCTTATTTTCATTCCCATTTTACTATTTTCCATGTTCTTTACATTGTGTAACCTGACACCCTGTCTATTCCGACACAAACTTTGTCACCCAGTGCATGACAGATTAGACAGATTTCACTGTACTTCTATGGATCCTTTACAGTGTTGTATTATACTCAGGTGACCGTTAAGGCCCTTAGACCTCTTGTTTTCTTATATATTCTTATGTTATTTAGAAAGGAATAATTTGGAACCTTTGAAAAAAATCAAATACTTACGTCTTGCATCCCCAGGAAAAGGAAAGATTTTCATTCTTTCCAAATCCTCCTTCAGCATCATATGATTCATCTAGAGCATTTATGTCAATTATTGTGTCCATTTTTCTAGCCATCTTCTTTGATCCGCCTACTATGTAGGCATATGGTGCTGGCTTGATGAACTGGACGACGATTGGTTCTTTGATCCACGTTCCATCAAGAGAAACGTTCAAAGTTACTAAATATTTACCTTCTGCTATTTTGCCCCGTGGAAAAAGCATTTTGCCTTTTGAGGGACTGATAGGGTTAGTATAAGGAAATTTGATCTTGTCTTCCTCGCTACTGTAATTTGAGAAAATCTCCCAACCGAAGTCAGCTGTCTTCTCCACACAAATAACTCCCATTCTGCTGGAAATATACACATCCTGAGATGTGAAAACTTTCATCGGATTTGAAATAACAGAATACTGTCGGTCAAATATTCCGTTTTTTGTAAAACATGGATTCCGTGCATATACACTGTTTGAAATTGGAATTGTTGTTAGATGGTTAGAACAATTTGCAGTTAAACTATGATTTCCAAGGGTTTGGTAGGTGTAGGGAAATACCATTGGCTCCGTTGGAGTTATATTTTGAACTTTTTCATGCAATGAGTTATCGATCAAATCACCAGAGAGCAAACTGCATCTAACAAAAGGAAAAGACATAGTAGAAGTGGTAATAGTTATTGTGACGGTTCCGGGTGGTAGATGAACCGTTGTGTTGCTGAATTCTATTGCCAGGTTTCCAGTCATGTCATAGTCTGCCGCCAAAGGTTCAGAAAGGTATACAATTTCTGTCAAACTTTCGTATGTTGCTGTGACACTTGGTAAATATGTACCGTATTTGGCATAGGAAACAGTACAAACACCACTTGTACAAGAAGCCGTGTCGTCGGAGTCAGAATCAAAGACAAAGCTAGGTGTTCCTGGAGTACCAGTAGCAGTTAATGTGAACACGCCTGTACCAATTGGGGCTGCTTGTTTGTCACTGTTCAATGTAGTAAACCCAAGTACCAGATTCGTTGTGATAGTTTTTTGGTCCCCATTATTATTCTTAAGCACAACATTAACGGTCAAAGTTTCTCTTACATTGTAGGTATGTTGTTTGTCAAATGTTGATTGTAATGCTGGTGATGAAATTGTTCCGTCTCCAAAGTTCCACGTAGCAGTTATATTTGGAGGCATTCTGGAACAGTTGAATAATGTCAACGCAAAGGCTACTTCTCTAGGAATCGGCTTGGGTTTAACTGGATGCCGATAATCGATTGTAGGAGTGAAAGCTTCCGTTGACATGTTCATAGGAACTGGATTTTGTACATGAAGTCCAAAGTCCTGCATAGTAAATGTATGTACAACTATTGTGGCCATCTTTTGCATGGTGCTTATTAAATTTGAACAATTGGCTGTAAACGTAAATGTTCCAGCACTTGTATATGTATGAGACTTTGTGACAGCAACGTTGTAGTCAAAAACTGTGCTTTCATTTGTATCTACTGTGGAATCTCCATAGTCAAATGTACACAGCACCGCATCCGGAGAGGGTACATCAGCCGTCATTACTAAGGTAAAGTTCACGATTCCGTCTGGATAAGGAATCTCATCCGATGTTGGTGACAGAGTTGTGTTATCTGGCAACAAAGGTGCCTGACTCGTCACTTGGTAAGAACAAACACTGACATAGAAGGGATTCCAGGCAGTCATTGTGACGTTGAAAGTTCCACTGTTTGTATACGTATGATTCCAAGGCATATGAGAATACGACTGAGTTAAATTTGCATCTGTTACCTCATACAAGTTGCCATCTCCGTATGATATGGAAAAGTGAAAGTTTGAGTTTGGAGGCGAAATGAAGTCAAATGAAAGCGGTTGCCCTGCTATACTTGCGAAAGCAGAACTTAAAGTTACTGAGAGTTGGTCCCAAATGTATATTTCTTTGGAAATAACATATGAGCCCAACTCGTTATAGAATGTTAGAATGGCTGTATAGTTGCCTTGAGAGGTATAAGGACGCTGAACTTGGTAACCGGTCCCTTGCAAAGTTGTTACATCTGACAAATCCACAGTTTGATCGGTGCTGTCATCACCGAAAGAAATGTTAACTTTTATTTGACCTTGAGGAAAATTTGCGGCAGAAGTAGCAGTAATTGTAAAATTTACATTTTCATTTGTCCCAATCGCTGTGGTCGATGTCGTCACATTCACTCCGTTGACCCGGTAAACAGCCTCCACCATCATTGAGTCAAACGTTCTGGAGACGGTATTTGCAGCTACGACAGTCACATTATGAGTCCCTCCGACGGTAAAAGTAAAATTAAGGACATAATTGCGCGAACCACTTCCTGTATGCTGGAGCAAACAGGTGTCATTAGTATCTAAAAACCATTCTGTTTCTACATTTGAGCCCCCACTAAATGTGGCTGTGAATGATGCTGGTTCATCTAAAGGCAGGAATGTGCTTGTCCTTGAAATCTAAAATAAAATGGCAACTTACGTGATAAAATAACGTACATCCTAAATCTATAACCACTGTTGAAATAAAATGAAATTGGTTAGTTCCTTTTACTTTAATATTAAAATGACAACTGAATGCAAATGAATGTTGTCACATTCTTATTCTGAACGTTGAAATCTTGTGTGAAAGACTCTGTATTGAGACTTTTATAAGTCATGTGAAAGTGTCCTTACTAATTTAAAAGATTAAGATAATTATTTATATAATCGCCGGGGGTATAGAATAAGCTCATCTCGACTTCGTCGAGCTGAGCTAAAAATGTAATTATCATTACTACATCAAAACATTCAATTTCTTTGTGTGCTCTTCGCCTAATAAACAATATAACCTGAAATAAAGCATATACGTATATGGATTATAAATCTGCACGTTATAATAGTTAACTGATACCGGTACCTGAAATCCAGAAATTGCTTCCTCATAGAAAAGCACAACTTCCTTGTAGACATCTACCCCTGAGGAGCCATCATCCAACGTAAAATTCAGAAGATACGTCCCCCATCCATCGGTCACATCTGTCGAGTTTATTGTGTACGCAATAGTTTTTAGTGTGCTGTCTTTCTGGGCACCCGTGGTAGACAGTGTAGTTCCAGTATCAAGACTAGCGGCAAAAGTATACGTGGCTGTGTCTGAGGATTCATACACTAAATTTACCACCACATTCCCACCTTCTTGCAACTCCACCAAGTTTGTCTCCCCTGCCGCCACTTCAAACGAGGTAGCAACTTTTAAAAAGAAATAAAATATCAATTTAATAAAAATTTAGCCTAAAATTATTCTAACGATTCCCTGATTTGGGGTTCAATTTACATCAAGAGAATTGTCGTCAACTTTCAATGACTCCATGGATAGAGAAATCATAGGAATGCAAAATAATTGTCAAATACATCCTAGGATATAGGATAAAACTAGTAAATATACTTATATATCCTAGGATATAGGATAAAACTAGTAAATATACTAATATATCCTAGGATATAGGATAAAACTAGTAAATATACTTAAGGTAAAGAAGGTGTTGATTTAAAAATGCATTTAAAAAAATCATTGATTTTGTTCATGGAATTGAATTGATGATCGAATCAAATAAATTAGCACAAAGCAATTCATTAATTGGTCTCATCAATTGAAATTGATGTGCGATTCAATTCATTCATAGAGCTCAACAATGTGATTGTTATTGCTCACAAAAATTGGAGTTCAGTGTAAATGATTTGTTGAAAATCTCTTTAATTTTATTGATATCTTTAATTCAGGTAACATAAAAAGTAAAGAATTGTTTCACGCCTATCTTTCATTCATTTTAAGAGAGCAATAATTTAATTATTACGTCATTAATTTAATTATTACCTTCATTTGATTGTTGATATATTCATATATTCAATATCTTAAGAAATACCTTAGTCTTAAGTGAAGCCATTGAATCTGTCCTAACTTAACATATGTCAAGATTTCTAAGCCATTGCAATAGCCGACCTACAATGAACGTAAGATGAACTTCATATCTTTTTTCCCGGAGAGTTGTTTTGTTTTGACTTTGTTTTATTTTTAAGGAATGTTTTTAAGTTTTGTGTGAGTTATTGGTGCGTAAATCACACAGACTTGTTACATAGGCATATTTCATGAAGAACGCTAGCGCTACAGGTTCAGAAGCACCAAATATATATTCAATGTTTGAATTATTCGCTGCCCTATGTCGTTACATCTTTAATAAAGTCTCTGTAGCTCATTTTGACGTCACTTTAGCGCGAGTTTCTCCGTGCATATTTCTACGCGTGAGTATACACGGAAATGGTATTCAAACCGTACAGTTGGCTTAGTAGAAAAACATAGCAAATGTCAATATTGTTTGATATTACCGCATATTTGAGTTCATCTTACAATATGCGTCGTTATCAAAGCTCTACCCTGTTTTTGATATGTCATCACTCGCCCCTTATTTGTTGAGAAACTGATGATTATAAAGTCGGAATTTAGTTATCCATACAGTGTCGGTACTTAGTCACTATGTTTCCGGGTTATCTCCCCTTTTTCATGCATCAATGAAAGTGAAAGGTGGGTGATGAAATATTCTCTTTAGAGAAGTGGACAGGGTTAATTTCGCCTACATCCACTTTCATGTTTTGTTAAGTTTCTGGAAAACGTATAAATAGAACCGGTGATGGCCTACCCTTCAATTGACATTTCGTCTAAAATATGTCTGAATGTACGTAGCAGAGGTGTTATCAATTTCAACAACTTTAATTTGTCCAGAAATTTTCGAAGTATTTGTAGCTACATTTTGGAAAAGTTAGGATTCCTATTTTCGGCCATTATACGTTGAAGTCTATAGATATAAAGCTAAGTAATCAGTTGAAATCTGCCAGTGAATGAGGATAATAGCGCTGAGCAGAACAAAATTTTTGTTGGGTTACTACACTACAGTCAACGCGGTTTCCGTATTTACCGTGAGTCCTCGCAGTGTGAAATTGATCGCGGTTTAACACAGGTAAATCACTCAGGAGGAAGTAAAAGTACCTATACTCTGCCTCCTACAAGTTACTCTATAGCTAAGTAAATTAAGTACCTATTGATGTATTATGAATTAATTCATCTAATTAGCGGTGCAGGTATTACTGAATTGTGAAATCTATACAAATTAAACTTTTGGGAGAGAGAGAGAGAGAGTCCTATTTATCATTTTCTTAGTGAATGATAATTTTTTTTTATAAATAGACATTTGCTTTATGAAACTACATCTCTATTTTTATTTTACTAGTTAGGAAAACATTTCATTAAGTCCCTATTATAATTTTTTTTGTTATACGAAGATATTCTGTAATATTACTATATTTAAGAATTATCTTGAGAATCTCCTTCATTGAGCACGTCAAAAGAATTGATGATATCTTCAAATAATTAAATACTTTTTGTATTATCTAAGTGGCGCGAAGGATGCGCTTGTTATATGCAATCTTTTCAAACTAAGAAATATAGTTTATATTTTTTTCAATGCGTTAGTAAAACGATCAATTGAAACTATATTTATTTACTGACAGAGTTTTGAACGAGTTCCTGGTTAACCGGTTACCCGTCGAACGATGCGAATATCGGTTAATGATACCGTTATTCGGTTACTCTGGTATGAAGACATTTTTCAGAGTAAGAAAGTTAAAAAAGGTTTGCTTACATTTTGTTTTAAAATGAAAACTAATATATTTGAAAAAAAATTAATTATCGTTAGTATTGACCTTGTGTATCACAAACACGGTTGATTTGTTTTGTTTGGTTTTTTTCACAGTTTATTTTATAAATGACTTTGATTACCAAGGGCTATACATGTACAAGTTTGGAAGACTGAATGAGTAATTACCTCATTTTTAAACTTTTGCTAGTCAAGATGCCGCCCCAGACATAAAAAACTTGGAAACATTTTAGAGTCAAAATAAAGACCGATTTTAAATCCATAAAGTCTAAAATATGTGAAATAGAAATAACAAACACAAACTAGCCAACCGTTACGGTTATACGGTTATTTTGTTAAAAATAATCTCTATTTTCGAATAATATACATATACAAGAACAAAATTTAGAAGAGTTGAAATATAGTGGCCACGCAGTGCATTTCTTTAAAATTTATTTTTACCAGTATGTAAAAGGCAAGTTAAATACATGATATTAATTATATCGAAATTGTGGAATTTACATACATGTATTCTTAATTTAGAGTTACAAATGTATATTATTAAATATATACCTTGAGCAAGGATATTATGAGGCAATATGAAAACCATCCGAGTAATCGGGTACTAGATCGAAAAAATAAGCGAGTAACCGGTTACTAAAAATCGTTCGATTTGACAACATTTAATTACTATATATAACATAGTTATGATTTTTTTAATGATTATGTAATTTGCTTTACAAGTTTACTTTTTGTTAAAATGTCGTATATCTTTAGAAGTTAAAGAGGTAATGCATCAACAGAAATAACATAGTAAAGAATTTATTGAATATGTTAACCTTAAGGATATCCGACTCTCAGCCAGGAAGGATAACTCTTAAATTTATTATTTTATTTGAAAAGTCTCAAAATGAAGCTTGAAATTGAGAACTTTTCATGCAACAATTTTCATTTTATGCATCTCAATATGATTCAAGGTTCTTTGAGGTCTTAGAAACGGTCTTGTAAAAAAGTTGACATTTGTACACCATAAAGAAACAAGAGGCCCAAGGGCCTTAACGGTCACCTGAGTATAATACAACAATTTAGAGGATCCATAGAGTATAAAATAAACTGATAGATGAAGCTTTGTTGCCCAAAAGCAAGAGAAACAGGATGATCAGAATCAATGAAATAATTAGTCTAGTATTCAGTAACAACTCATACATTAAATTCTAATTTATCCCCCATTTAGCACTATCACCATGCAGACTATTAACAAACTAATAGTTCCTCTGTACTACTTTTAACCCACATCGCAACCTGTCACATTGGCCTCTCTTGGTCTTTGAAGAACATTTAATAAGTTATTTTTGTCTCTTTTTTATCTATTTATTATTTACAAGTCTATCTGGTCATGAACCCTGACTAGGACCAGAACACTTGACCAAATGGTCCTGATGTTCAAAAATCTGGTAAAAATATCCTTGCTTATTAAAACTTTAATTCTGTTCGTCTTCAATATGCCAAGGAGCAGAGAAGATTTTCAAAGAAATAATGCATTTTCACTACAGATTT